TGGGAAGACAGTACTTTAAACAGTGCTGTGCACTCAGATAGCGGGGCATAAATTCAATATTGACAGAAAGAAGCTTGCCACCTACTGCATCACCACCGGAGTCACACCATAGCTGAACCACATATTAGAGAGCTGGAAGCTTGCACTGTCATGGAAACCATTGATGATGATGCTATACTGAGGTCTGAGGAAAGGGAACTTCACAGGTTTCAGGTTTTCTGTCTTGTGGATCCTTGGCACAGGAAACGCACAGTGTACACAACAGGCTATAAAATCTACATTTAGTATAAACCACAGAGCTTGACACGCATGAGACTTGAGCAAATAGTTTCCATTTTCTGTAATAGTGTTAGTGTATACAACTTCTACCTGTAAATGTAAAATACAAACTTGGATTATCCAAACATCCGCCTGCAGGCCTCTCACAACTGCAAAACCCCTAAAGAAGACGAGAAAGAAACATGGTAATGGTTAGTGCAACATTTGAACCACAGGAAAAATAGTGGTGGATTCTTATTAAATATATATATATATATTTGAGAGGTTTTTTCCAGTCCATAGAAAATGTTAAGATGATGGTGAGTCTTGTGTCCATGTCAGTTTGCTTTCTGTCACTGTTGTTTACATTATTGTTACATGAATTCGACTGTTGTTCTTTGCAGATTTGCCACAGATGTATACAGAAAGAATACTCTACAGTTTTACAGTTTTAGCTACCCTGTTGCCTGATCACAGTCTGCCCTTGGAAATATCAATGCAAATAGAGAGTAATAGCGGAAATTCTGCATCCAAAATTTACTTTTTCTTTATATATAAAAAATAGCAGTATAATATATGCACTAGATCGAGAATCCTCATTTCAGAGCTCAGATTTCACCATTCCTTTATAGCTTCCTCACTTTGTAATCAATTACCAATGAGCTTCATCCATTCCATTTTACAGGTATAAAACTGTTCATCCCAAAGGCTTCTATGGGATGAATTCATCCCACTCCTCCCCTCCATCTCTGGTATTGATAGTTTTGTCTTCTGTAAGTTTGGTAAAAGGTATGCTCTGGCTGATGCTTGCCCCAGGCTAAAATTAAAAATGCCCACATAGGGCATTTTTCCTTGCCTGCCATGTGCAGTTGCTATGGCTGGAGGGCTACCACTCAAGAGGCATGCACTTGAGCTCTCCGGCTGCTACAGAAATGGCTTTGCTATGCAGGCCAGTAGCACAGCTGATGTTCTTCACATAGTGAAGCACCATTTTGGCTTAGGTGCTTGGACCTCGCTTTTCCAGCCAAAATTATGAAGCGGTGCCTATTTGAAACTGTAGCTATTTGGGAAAGGAGTCACAGGAGTTGACTATCTGAATGTCTGTAGGGCAGTGCTGATGTAGGGAAGGGGAAAGCCGTGAAGGGACTGTGAGGGGTGAGCAATCATGCCTCAGTCACTTCCATGCAGGATGGCTGGAGAGCCTGACTTAACACAGACCCCAGGACTGGCTTTTGTGAGCGCTTCAGACAGGCTTTTATTTGCATGAAAATAGACTTTAGGAAGCCATTAAAATGTAACGAAATGTATTTAATGCTCTATGGTGTACCCAGCTTCTGTCAACCTCCTTATTAGAACGTTCTTTCCCTTCATTTTTCTTCTCTTCCCCTCCCTTGGCATGGCTCCGCTGCACAATCTATGTGGAAAACAATATAGCCTGGAAACACCTAGCTCTCTCTCCGTCCCCTTTTGCTTTTGGCTTTTGCAGCTGCTGTTTTCTCAGTGTTGTCTCGGGGCAGTTTCCTGTTGCCATAGCTGATAGCCTGCCAGCGCCTGCCTGGGCCTTTCAAGTGTCAACACCGCAAAGTTTGCTGCGATGGCCAAATGCTTGTTAATGAGATATAGCAGCTGGGTAGGGGTGAACCACTGAGATGTATAAAGGCATGCCGCTGGTGCAGGAAGCGATGCCTTTTGAATCTTTTCAGCACTCTGAAAGCATTCAAATCACAGAGGCTATGTTGTATTCGTTAATAAACCGAAGTTCCCATGCAACTGTGTTAAAGCCAGAAGTTTAACTTCGCAATGGACAGGTGAATTTTTCAGCACTGTTTTACACCAGAAGACAAAGGGCAAGAAAACAAGAGTTTACGTACTGCCAAAGGCATTACTTCCCTTTCTAGCAGCCAGACGGAATTGTTAAACTGAGCTAGGTATTTCCCATTTCCTGACAATAAAAGCTTCTTTTTATCCTCTCTCTTTTATGCTTTGGAGCTCACAGCAGCCTGCTGGATCTCTATCTCACACTTTTTCTTTTTTTTTTTTTTTTTTTTTTTTTTTTTTTTTTTTTTTTTTGTGAACCATGATTAAAGACTGAATTTTAGTTTTTTAAAAAGACTTGTTTGAAAAAAAAAAAAAAAAGTCAAAGAACTTAAAGACAGGATTAATGACCAAGGCTGCTTTTATTCAACGGAGCAGTCCATGCAATCCTCACTCTGCATCTGTTCTACTATGGCGGAACAGAGGAGCACCCAACAGCTGGGCACAACAGGCAGAAGGGAAAAAAAAAAAAAGACAACAATAAAAACTAACATACAGTGCAAAGTTTTAAAGGTACCATGAGCCAAAGAGCATCTTTAAGATCTTCAAGACTTTTCTAGCATATAATTTTAACTGGGTTGGGAGGGTTTGGGGGTTCTTAGTTTGCGTTTTTTTCTCTTTCTCTTTCTTGTCTTTTTTTTTCTTCTCTCTTTTTTTTTTTCTTCTTTTTTCTTTTTTTTTTCTTTTTTTTTTTTTTTCTCCGTCAGAGGAGCAGCTGTGGGAAAGATTGAATGCTAGGAAAACATGTTTAAAACTGAAACAACCACAGTAATAATAGTGACAAAATTGCTTTGGAAAAGTTAAACAAAAGAAGTGTTAGAAACAGGAAAGGGCCATATGGCTCAACACGCCAGCCATTTTCTGGTTTATCTTAATTGTTTCCCTCACTTCTCTGCAAATGAATACAAGTGTCTCAGACTCATTTATATGCTTTCATTTCCCTTTCACAGTAACTTGTTCCAAGGTAATTTAAGCCTAGCCACTTAAGTGATATTTAGCTATTTGACTGTTTAGAGAACAGCAGTTTAGCTATATTCATCAGCTCACTGCAGCTACTGTACTTGTTTTCAGAATTTAGTTACACTGATCAACTACCTACAAAATGGCCTTCTTTGGTGGAAACTAAGTCATGCAGGCCCTGACCCAGAACCAGTAGAGTCAAGAGGAGTTGTGGCACTCAGCTTAGCAGATTTTGATGCAGGCATGTTCTTTCATCTTCAAATTTAATTCTAGTAAAACTTGAAGGGTTTTTTTTTTTTTTGCTTTTTTCCCCCATTGATGTATACATTTTTTTCTATTTTCTGTAAAATTTTTCATTTCGTGATAATCATAATTCACATTATTTCAGTTGAAATGACAGATTAAATTTCTCTGCAATACTTCTCAAACATTTTTTATTAGTTTGTGTCAGAAGGAATTTATATATATATATATATATATCCTTTAAGTCTATGCAGTACTGAGGCTTAAAGGATATTTTGATAGGTGAAAAATTCTATCTTTCAAGATTTCAAATCATGCTATTTCTACTATTAGCCAGGCAGCAATTATTTTGGTTTTGAGATATACAGTTAGAGCTTGAGTTTAGCTATTCTGAACACCGTGCTGGCTCTCTGACTGTATGGATGTCACTGCAGAGCATGTGGAAAGAAGTGAGGAAAAGTGCATTGAGATGTCTGGGGATGGCTGTGATGTAAGAAGGACCCCAAGTCAGGAAGGAAAAAGAGTCAAAACAAAACACTTCCTATTAACAATAACATCAAGCGAAACCATGGCAAGCTGTTAAGCCTTTAAATAAACATACCATGACAAGCTGAAGCATAAGCTTCAACCAGCTTGTTAGAACACAGTCCTCTACCATGACAGAAGTTAAAATGTTCTGCATTCACAAAGCGCGTGCCAAGACACAAGCCACATCTTGGCTACTCCAGCTACTCAGAGTAAGCACCAGATTGCGAGAGAATTAATGGAGGGAGACAGCGCTTTTCTCATCTTTGGGCTCTTTTCAGCCTCAGAAAATGCTGACTTGTAGAATCTGCTCAGAAAACTCTTGTTCAGACAGAGGCCAGAAAATTTGCTCATTCTTACAAAAGATAATGATTAATAAGTGAGTCAATTCAGTGAATGTCTGGCCTGTGCTCCTCTCCATATGTCTTCAGGAAGATAATTGCAAGAGCAGTGACACAGAAAGGAGGGACAGCCATCTGTTGAACGAAAGTACAGATAATTTTTTTTTTAACAATTTCAGTAGTTTACTCACATAACCTAAAAGAGGGAAATAAATGTGGGGGTGGGGGGAAAGGTTCATATCAGTGACTTTTCTGTGTGCTTAGAACAAGGCAGGAATATACAATATATGCTTTCTTCTTCTCTAATAATAGCACCACAGACTGAGAAGCAGTAAGCTTTTAGGATGCTTGATACCAAACTCACGCCTTCAGCATGAGATTAAAGTGAAAAGAGCTAGAAGAGAAACCAAAGTATTACAAGTTTTCTATGGCCATTCTAGCAGTTTTTTAGAAGTTCAGAATACTATCAAAATTTTAACTCATACTTCCCCTGAAAAGCAGAGGAAAGATTAATACTGATAATCACTAATATTTCCATAGAGAACTAGTTTGTTCATTGCAAATGAGGGGGAAGTGCCAATTCATCTCAGAGATAGCTCCACTAAAAAGAAGAAAACATTTCATGGCTAATGGCTAATGGCTAATGTCCTTTGGAGTCATTCACATTTGCTATACACTGGATTACATAAACAACAAAACGAGGACATAGAACCCTAGAACTGCTGTCTAATCTTACCATTGGAACATCATTGTGCTTTCTGATCAGGTTCATGACATAGCTGTTCCTCTCATTGCAATATATTTGATTAATTTCTAAGCCTAGTTTTGTCATAAAATACCCAAATCATTAGAGTTGGGTTTTTTGGTGTTTTTTTTTTTTTTTTTTTTTTAATTTTAAATACAATCAGCATTTGTTCTTTTGAGTATACGTGGCTTATATTATTATATCAGCATGTGGTTTAGTCCAAATTAATTGTAATTTACTTTGTATGTGTGAGATTTGCTAAATCACAGACAGTCAGCCTGTGACAGATTCCTTCCTTGCTTATGTTAGCCTCAACCTTTTTCTCAGCTTCCCCTTTCTAAATTTAGCTTTACAGGTTATCTCTGATGTCTCTTCCTCAGCTCTTAGAGGTTCTGTGATATTTCCCCTAACTCTAGACACATAAAAAGATCACTGTTAAACGCCATCTTCTGAGCCCAAGGGAGCACATCTCTTCCACGGGTTTGTCCCTGACATATTAATGAAGAAGCCACACATTCACTGTCTGTTCATTCTCAAAAACTGTAGTTACATCCCCTTTTCAGAGAAATACAGACCAGAGGGTCTGTAGTTGAAGACATGAGGGTCTTCAACTCTCCTGTTTTTCCAGAAGGAACACTTCTACACTCCTACAAGCCTACAAGGATTTAGACTCTGAATGTTCATTCTTAAAACAGGCATTTGGAGCATTTCCTTAGTGAAACAGTACAATTCCTTTCACACCCCCTTCTCAGAGAGTATCTGCAATAAACTCTATGGATGGAAATGCTGGAGGTGATCCCGACCTTATGTTAGATTTACCAACCTGACAGGTTGAACAGAAACCTCTGAAGTTTCCTATCCTCATGCAGTGACCCGTAGCTAATCTGCATGACAATGTGTTGTGTAATTGCAGGAAGCCACTGCAACATCATTCAGGAACAGGAAGCTTGGGAACTGTTTACAGCCACTACTATGGTGACAAAACCTGTCATTACCTTGTGCACTGTTTCTTCTGACACATAGATGGAATTGCAAAGTCTTATCACTCAGCTTTATAGGGAAGATCAGATGAAGCAAAAGAATAACATGGGAAGAGGAAAAAAAAAGCCAGGGCTTGGTTGATTGTTGTCATGATTACATTATACAGGTTGAAAGACAGTTTCGGCAGCTGCTAATTGTGCATGGGAAGACAGAATTGTTTGACATCAGTTAGGTTTCAGTTAAGTTTACTGTTCCTTATCTCTTGTTTAATGTAGTACTTCAAAGGAGTACTTACTTCTTGTCCCTTGACTCAAGTGGGTACAGCAATGGGGATGCCATCTGGGAGATACTGACTTGAGTGCATTCATGTGCTCCTAGCCCTCAGGCCAAGAGGCAGGCAATTCTGCCAGTTATTTTTTCTGCTAATTTCAACTAACTCAATAAACTGTATGAAGCACTTTCAGAAAACAAAATTCTACCCACTCACTAAATATGACTAATAATCAAAGAAATAAATTGCAGGCCTACAGTAGCTATATTTTGGACTTATTTGTAGCCTGTTGGGGCTTTTAGGATTCATGTTCACATTCCTGAAGAATAAAAACAAAGAGAAGACTGTTTGGAACGGAAACATACAATCTCCAGTGAGTGCTTAAAGTCAAACATTGCTTGATAGGTAGTAGTGGTCAAACTAAAGAAGCTGTCTGTAGTTCAAATATATGTGATCTATTACACTCTGAGAAATTTCCAAAATCAGGATGGTTCCTGCTATGAACTAAGCTTTCAATCTGCTTTTGAAAATTGTGCACTGCTCTCTTTGAATGTATATCTGAAGGAACACCTTACACTGCCATTAGTACTACTGCAATCTTAAGGACTCTTGTGGAGGAGGGTACTACTCACTCTGAGAAAAGGTATCTGATTTGGCCCCAAATAAGTAACTATTCAAAAATCAAGAGAGCTCTTCTATTTAATCAAACACTTTTTTAGCAAAGAGGAGGAATGGAAGGAGAAGGGTAGAAGGCGAATGAGAATATGCCTAAGAACAGGTTCTAGTGGTTTCAGTCCTTGATTTAAGTCAATGTCTCCCACGTCCCTAAAAATACCACTGGTATCCAGTCACTTGATTTTAAGTACACACCTTTGAGCTGCCTGTACTATTCACTCATGTTTTTCTCATTACAAAGCAGACAAAGAAAGAGAAGGAGAGAGAAATTATATTTCAAAAGTTTAGTGTACGTTTTAATCACTCACACTTTCCAACTGTTCAAGATCACACTTTTATTAAATGAAAGTTTCACTTTCAAGTACATGAATATATGAAATATTTCAAGGGTTCTTCTTTCAACTTCTAACAACTAGATGTTGCTGCTACCACTGGACTACTATTTACAAGGCAAGTGAAATGAGGATTTTCTGACCTCAGATGCCGTGTTATTTTGTTGATGGGCACATGGGTAGGTACATATTAAGTAAAAGAATGTTTGCACTTTGTTATTACCATAACCAATTGATGAATTGATGAAATTTAAGAAATTTTTGACCAAGTTTTTCAGTTGTAGGAGACAAATTTTTAACATACATTTTGTAATTTAACAAGACATTACAAACAAGTTACCTACAGTGTAGGGTAGGTGAAGTTATTTGTTGATTGTAGAACAGCTAGAGACCAGCTAGTGTCCTAGTACCAAATGAGACTCAGCTGATTTTCAGACTGTTCCTCAGGTGAATTCATGAGGCATCAGAAGGCCCTGATATCTCAAACATAATGTCTCAGATATTCCACTGGAAAATGACACTTTTAAAAAGACAGTACAACGCAGCAGGCCATCACTACTTTCCAAAAGTAATTCTAATTTTTTTTCTTACAAATTCTGTAGAGAAATTGTTACTTATTTTTCCTTATTACTAGTACTTACTATTACTACTACATATACTTCAAAAAATACTATTAAAAAAAAAAAAAAAAGACTATTTCACTTCTAAGTCAAGTAATTCCAATCAAATCTCTGGCTAGGCTTTCATTTTGGGGTCAAATTCTGTGTGCAGGTGGTTCTCATTGAGTTCAATATGATCCCAAAGAATGCACCAGAAGACTGAATTTGGCCTCTATCTGCTAGCCTAAGTATACGATGCAGTTCTGTCTTTGCACTGTACTGAAAAAAGATACAGTATCTCTTTAGTTTATAAGCCTGCTTATTATCAGTCTCGGGGAAAGAAAAGATGGTTAAATTTAGATTTCTACAGAATGTTTTGATTTAAGTAAAAGAATTCAGTGACCACCAGTTTGGAACATCCTTCTAATGTCATAAGTAAGCAGTAAGTAGATTCAAAAAAGCTGTGTACGTATTCTTAATTGATTGAAGCGGAGAACAAAGAGAATGTCAGTCTTCTAGGTTTAGATGAGGATCAGGTGGTTTCAAGCTGAGAAGAAACAGGAGCCTTTTGTTGTTGTTGTTTTAAGCAAAATTCTGGGAACTTCTCTAGTTCCAGATACTCTGCACTGCTCTAAAATGTAGGAGGATTCTACAAAACATTTGTTACACCATTTTTATCAGTCATTCACACCTTGTTATTTAAAATTTACCATCTTTGAATAACTTCCCTCCAAAAAAAAAAGTTCTCATTTAGTATTAGGCAAACCTTAACTCAAGCAATGCAGTAATATCAGGCCATGCCAGTTGTGTAGGGCTTGACACTGCAATGCTTCAACAGGGAAATTTCTCCACAGCTTCAGAGAGTAATTTCCAATTATTCAAATCCCACAGGAAAAAAAAAAAAAAAAAAAAGAAAAGAAAAGAAAAGAAAATCATACGGGAATGCAGTGTGCTAAAAAAGTAAAAATGATTGGCAGTGCTCTGAGCAAATTGTAACACTGGGAGGATTAGCACTAGCAGCTGAAGATTTCTCTTATTCCTGTCCAAAGACTTGGCAGCTTATGCTGCTGCCTTGATTGAATCTCTCCCTTCGTACTTCTGCCCTGAAGGGTTAGAAAATTCCAGTTTTGTTCATCAGAGTCTTTCTGCAACAAGCTGATGAAGAGTGGCTACATTTATTGAGGAGTTTTGAAGCAATTCACAGATCAGAGGAGACATATGTCTTACTGGCTAGAATAATCTTACCCAGTGTAGGAAGACAGCATTCAAATCTTCTCTATGCCTCATACATATGTGAAATTAAAATGTTTCCTTCAGTGTTTCAAAGCACATAATCAGGCTAGCAAATGCACAAGCTGTTCTGTGGAAACCATTCTGCTTTGCATGTCACAAGAGAGCCACAGTAGAATCATAGAAAGACTTGGGTTGGAAGGAACCTCAAGGATTATCAGGTTCCAATCTCACAGACATACAAGGCTGCCAGCTGCTAGATCAAGTAGTAGATCAGATTGCCCAATGGATCCAAGTTGAGGGAGGGAAGATTTAGGTTGGATGTTAGGGGGAAGTTCTTTACAAGGAGAGTGGTTAGGCCCTGGAACGGGCTGCCCAGGGAGGTTGTGGATGCCCCGTACTTGGACGTGTTCAAGGCCAGGTTGGACGGGGTCCTGGGCAACCTGATCTGAATGTGGATGTTTGGTGGCCCTGCTAGGCAGGGGGGTTGGAACTACATGATCCTTGAGGTCCCTTCCAACCTGGGTGATTCTGTGATTCTGTGATTCTGTGCCCAGGGCCCCATCCAACCTGGCCTTAAACACCTCCAGGGATGGGGCATCCACCTCTCTGGGCAACCGTTCCAGCACCTTACCACTCTCTCAGTAAAAAAATTTCCTATGACATCTAGTCTAAATCTTCCCTCCTTTAGTTTTAAACCATTCCTCTTTGTCTTATCGCTATTTACTCATGTAAAAAGGTGATTTCCCCCGTATTTATAAACTCGCTATAAATACTGGAAGGCCACAGTGAGGTCTTTCCACAGCTTTCTTCTTTCCAGGCTGAACAAGCCCAGTTCCTTCAGCCTGTCTTCATTGAAGAGGCGTTCAGCCTTTGAATCATCTTCATGGCCCTGTTCTGGACCCTCTCCAACAGCTTTCTTTCCTGCATTGGAGGCCTCACAAGGAATAAATAGAGGGGGATAATCATCACTCTTGCCCTTCCGGCTACCCCACTTCTGAAGGAACCCAGGATACCATTGGCTTTCCAGGCTGCAAGTGCGCACTGCTGGCTCATGTTGAGTTTTTCATCATCCAAAACCCGTAAGTCCAGGATTGATATAAAAACTGACCTTTCCCTTCTAACTAACTCATTGTCATCTCCTTCACTCAATTCATATTTATTTAAAATGCAGCTGTTTTAATAAGACAGAAAAAGAGGGCCACTGAAGAACCCGGTTATTAACATTCAGTTCCCCAGTGGAAATTTTTAACCCGAATCCAAGATCTAATGGGATAAATGGAAAGTGATTTGAATCCATGTGTTTCTCACCAGCAGCCCATTTATCCCTAGAATTTGGATCTAGAAGGAAATAAACTGTTTATCTCTGATCTATGAGCTTTCTAAGTAAGCTTTGACTAAATGGTAGCACAACTTCTACAGGAGGCATGGAGGTTTCAGTCATTGCTTGTGCAATTGCTCTCAGATTTCCTGGTTACACTGAGCTTTGGGTTCTTGCTCAAATGATGGGTACCTGCATGGGCTGTCCTTCTGAATGGAAAGGGATGCAGCCATTCTGCACTATGTGGCACATAAAATCAAAATGTGGCAGGACCATCTCCCCAAAAGATTGTTTTCCAGTTGTTTTGCTATATTTTTTCTTTTCCTTTTATGAATGGAATCAAAATTGTTGCCCCATTATTCCACTGAGTTAAAAACTGAGAACAGGGAAATGCATCCTAACTGAAGTGATCAGCTTTGAGAGATTCTTTTGGTGTTGGACTACACTATTATACCTCATAAGGAGCTAAATAATTTAATCACTGAAGAATAAAGTTTATAATAAAGTAGGCTATATATAGCAGAAGTCTATTTTTGAATGAGAAACACTGTCTCTGTTCTGTGACAGGGATTATCTCTGGCTGATACTGTCTGGTTTGTGTAAAATAAATCAGAGATCACAACGCGCATATTTAAAGGCATCAAATTCCATCTTTTGTTAGTATTAATGTCATTATCAGGTTCCTCATGTATTTGACATAGGTCCATTAAAAAAAAAAAAAAAAAAGAAAAATGAAAAGTTGCACCTAAGTGTTCCTGTGTGGAAAATGTAGAGAAAGAAATATTTCTTCCTCTCATTTATTTATTATATCATGATTTCTCTTGCTGTCTTCTGTCTGCTTTAACTGCCAAACTGTCTGATATTTCATGTATTTTCCATTCTTAACTTAAAAAAAAAAAAAAAAAAAAAGATTCTCAGCTGTTCAAAGTTACATTGTCCACTCCCCAGTCTTGATACAGCTCTCTGAAGCACTGCATGGAATATTCTTAGACCACGGTCAATTCAGCAGCTCCAATTTTTGAAATGTCATTATAAATGTAGGCTCTTGAAATCCACATTTAGCTACAGAGAGCAGCATTTACTTAGATGAATTGAAATCTTTAGGGATTTTAGTGCATTTCAGTGTAAATTCAGATGAAATTATGTGTAAAATCTGGAAACTAAAGGATTTTCTGATCTGTGATTGAAGCATGCAAGCAGAAAACACAGGCTACAACGTACATTCAGCTTTTATTGCCTGTACTATGAGAGCTCCTTTGCAATACCTCAATTCCTATGACACATGGCAGCCGTTTCTTTACACGGGTGGAAAATGAGGCCCAGACTCTAAGTAGTACTGAGCTCTTCACACCTGAGTAGCTTTGAGGATTTTAAGCCAGGGGAAGATTCAGGTAAAGCTTTTATATAGATTTTAGAAATAGCTTCACGAGTAGCTCACACTGAAACTGTAAGAATCTAAATGCGTAAAAGGAATCAGCTCATTCTTCCACATCTCCAAAGACCTCATCTTCTCCCCTAACACATACCTCTTCCTCAGCAATAAGTTACTGATAAGTAGAGACTCAATACAAACTCCTCCATGTACCTTGTATGTGGAGCTGATGTCAGAACATGCTGAGGGCACTCACAGCTCAGGGACTGGGCAGAACCAGCAGTACAGAGGTTCCACTGGTAGGGCCAGAGCTGCTCAAGAGCACTTAGCAGAGAGTAAGTGACTTAACCCATCAAAACTTTGAGTTGCATTTTGCAGGTGTCTCTAGATTATGTAGAGAGCCTGGAGGAACTGTGCTCCCAGTTTAAGATATTTTATTATTGTTATTTCCACCAAGAACAATTATATGTATCTTTTTTAAAGCAGGATAATTCTAAATGAATGTTTAACAGAGAAAAGAGGATTGATATCTTTTGGCAGAGGTGTTAAAAAAAACCAGGAATATTATAGAGTCCATGAATCATTAAGTCTTGAAAAGACTGTTAGCCCATCTCCACCGTGCTCACTAAATCAAATCTCTCACTGCCATGATCTCTACTTTTCTTGAACACCTCCAGAGATGGTGACTCCATCACCTCCCTGGGCAGCCTGTTCCAATGCCTTACCACTCTTTCAGAGAATAAATTTTTCCTGACATCTAGGTATCTATCTTTCCTGAACCTCCCCAGCTTCAGCTTGAGGCCACTAGCTCTTGTCTTATTTATGGATACCTTGGAGAAGAAGCTGACCCCTACCTTGCTATAACCTCCTTTCAGGGAGCTGTAGACAGCAAAATAGTCTCTCCTGAGCCTCCACTTCTCCGATTGCTAACCACCTACTGTATGTCAGCTGCTGAAATCTTTTTCTTTGACAATATTATAGAGCACTGTAAATAACTAGGAGTTCTGTAACACAGAAAAAGACTGCATTCACTGCCACCATGTGCTCAAAGCTAATCCACATCTTAGTTCAAAACTGTCTTTCATTCCATGTCTCCATGTTAGGAGGGAAAATGCAGACACACATACTCACACACACAAAAAGCCTGAGGAGATTAATTTCCACTTATTACTTGGCATAATCAGGATTCTTAATGACCCTATTCTAAAATTAAATGCATTAATTAGTGTTCTAGTTATATTATTCATGCAATATCTACTTTTGCTATATACCGTAAGAAAGAATTCATTTACTGGAATGCTTTTTAGGTCCCATTATTCACGTATATTTTGTCTAGCATTAAGACATTGAAAAACATTCCCTGGTGTTGTCAATGGGGAAAAAAAAAAAAAAAAAAAAAAAAATTCAACAAGAAATCAAAACGGTTAGGAAAAGGGCTAAAAATATACTGCATTTTCTCTAGGCTATGATACTTTTTCACTATTTTAATATTGAGGATACTGAAATCTTGTTTGTAGAAGAGAAATCTGGTGCTTCGATTTCAAGTATGTAAGTCATAAACATCTGTGTATTATCAGATGTTTCTGCTTGTAGACTGAAGAGGAACTTTGCAGTATATTTGATGATATTTCTGAGAATAAGTATCCTGACAAAATCTCACCTCCATTATGCACCAGAAAAGCACTGCTGACCTGTCCATTAGGATCAAGAATTGGAGTGGGATGTCTGGTACACAAAATATTTAAGTCTCAGAAATGGACTGCAATCTCAATTCCATTTTTTCCCTTTTTCCCCTTCTCTGGTTAAAAGGAAGAATTCTAAGAAAATGCCAAGGTCCTCAGCTGGAAGTTGACAACTTCATAAAATTGTCATAGTCCAGTAGCATATTAATTATGCTACATACCCACAGATACACCCTGGGAGGAAAAAAAAAAAAAAAAAAAAAAAAAGTGAACAGTGGGTCAAGTCAGTTTTGTTCCCTTGTGAGTTCCTATCCCACACATTCCCCCTTATTTTCAGTCAGGAAAGCAGAAATATGTGCTGTCCTGCACTGATCAGTGTGTGCATACTGGTCATCTGCAATGCCACAGAGCTAAATTATAATGGCTTTTCCTTTGGTAGCAGCCCTTATCAGGTTCTCTCTTGTTTCTGCAGCCTTCAGTGTTGTTAGGGTTTCTGGGACTTCCTGCTTGGTAGTTTGGGTTTCACATAGTGACTTGTTCAAAAGTTATTGCAGAGGAGGACTGAGCAAGACACAGATACATGGACCTCACTATGTGATGGCCTAAGCCTTAGTTATTGCAGAAATTAAGCTAAACTCAAACATACATGTGTATGTATCTGATTCAGAGAAAATGCTAAGGGAGATAACTACATTTAAATGCACAGATTATAAAAACATCTGGAAAGCTGTTCTAACAGAAAAACGGGGCACTTTTTTGGACATCTAATTTATGTGGCATTAGACATCTTGAAATTTAAACAAGGCAGTATTGTCATTGGTCATTTCAGTAAGATCAAAGCGAAGCACATGTTAAGCACAGATTCAAGCAGTTCAGGATCCTAATTAAAGCTAATAGTAGCCTTACGCAAGGAAGTTGTTGTTTCCTGTTAAAGCATGCTGCTCAGTTTTACTGTCTGTCTTTAAAGTGTGGCTGCATGAGATTCAAACCAATTTGTGAAGTGTGAAGCGTGCTTTGGAATATTATCAAATGATGTGAAATGATAAATCCATGAAACTGATAATGCCATAAAAAAACCCATATTCAAATGCTTTGTTATCCAAGGGATTAAAGTTAGTAATGAATCCCAAGAAGGATTTTACTCTTTGACAGCTCTGGAAAAGGAAACTCAGATTTTTATAGAAACACTAAAATAGCGTTATGAAGAGGTTTTTTTTACTATGTTCTTGGACCAAACCTTGCATCATTGAAACAATAAGTCTTTTAAAAGCAAACTGAAGTGTTTGTATGGATAAAGCAGGAAAACTTTGGACTATAGCCTTTCTTTCATGGCAATGCTGCTGTAATGGTAATAACTGCATTAGCGAATCAGGGGAGCAGTTTTTGAATTTCTGATACCAGTTTGGAAAAGACAGCCTAAAGCATGGAAGAAAGCCCCAATGCTGCAGCATACCTGTTAGTTCATAAGCTTCAGTTTCCATTTCTCCCACTCAAGTGTCTTAATGTTATGTAACAGGAGAAGGGAATGTTCCTTTCTTTTGGCAGTGGACACTGAATCCAGCTATTCATCTTGATGGGACTGAGCAGAGCATTTGAAACCAAATGAGTTATTATGGCCTGTGGTTTCAGGAACTGGTTTAAAGATAGCCTCAAAATTATCAAAATTTACATAAAGAAAGACATCTGACTATGTCCATGAAATATTTCTACCAAGTTTGGAAAGTAAAACTCAAGCAATGAATGGTCTGTGTCATAAATCAATTTTTTGGCTGCATGAACAGGCCAGCGAAGAAAGAACATTGAATAAGCAAAGGTTTTAATATTCTGACAATTATAAACAGTCCTTTGTTTTTCTTTTTCTCTTATATGTACATGGGTGTGGGCCGGGGAAGCCATATATTCATAAAACATCTGGTGCTCAGCTTGTTGTTATAATCAATCAGTCTTCTTATTTTATTTTTCCAACACCGCACAGGAAAAAAGAAAAAAAATAGACTCAGACCTCTTAATTAAAGAACCAAAACCTCCTCCTTCTGGGTACAAACAGAGCCGGAGCTGGCTCAAGTTTACTGTTTGCAAGATTTGTCTTAGAGGAGGAAAGTCCTCCTGGTTGGAAAGAGCAGTTTCTTGGTTTTTAGTGCCTTATGGTAAAAGCTTTGGAACTGATGGTAGATAGTTTCCAGAGCAATTGTTTACTCACAGGATAGAGAATGGTATTGCTGACTCATTCTTTGCACACGTTTACATTCATTATTCTGATTTAGAGGAAAACAACACTTTAGCTTTAAGTCCCTACGTTTACGGATGTAGTAGTAACACAGACACAGGCCTCGACTTCCACAGAACTGCAACACTTCGTAACTCTTCATTCATGAAAAGCATTATAACTTCCCCAGGTGATATAAAATCTACTAGTATTAGGTCTGCAACCTCATTCAGCAGGTAAATCCACCTCACTTGTTTGTGCTTTTGGGATCTTCTTGAATCTCTGAGAAAGGATGGCCACGTTTTCAAAAGCCCTTTCCATCCTTCCAGATGTATGGTGAAGTTATTGGCAGCAGAATCTTTGAAAATTTGGCCCAATTTCTGTAAGTTTAGCTAGTAATTTAGCTAGTATTCACCCATCTTTATCAGAACTCTTTCCTGTAGGGATATTATTGTTCATGCTAGCTGTGGACATTGTTCTGATTGCACAGAGCTGCTTAGTGCTTCTGTCCCGAATGTAGCTGAATTCACAAACTAGAATTATTGTGACATTTATCAGATCTTTTTAGTTTGAGAAATAAATACATACTAAGAAGAAAAATGAGTTATTAGCCATGGCTTTCTCAATATAGTAAATGACTGATTTATACATACATGTTTATGTTTCTGCATTAATCAAACTACATGCTAACTGTTAACATGTTCTCCAAATCTGTCTATTTGAGAGAATGTTATTAAAGCCATAATTTCAGTCTTCCCAGAGCTATGTGCAACCATAAATAAGGGTTGAGAAGCCTGGCAAAGCCAAGCATCCTACCTCTCACAAATCACTGAACAGTAGAACTGAGAAATACTACAGAGTACAGAAATACTATGAGGTAGCACAAGCATATTGCAGTGTACTAATGCAAAGTGACGGAGGCAAGGGTTCAGCACTGGTTTCACACAAAGCATGATTCTGTTGCTTAATACATTTGTTGCATTTGAGACAGCCACTGCTATCCAGATCACCTATACAAGGCTAGCGGAAATACACAGGACCCATATACAGGTGGCTTGATCATCTCTGGAGCATCAGAAAGAACATGGTAGGAGACACTTGGGCATCTCAGGTGATCCCAGGTACTATTCATTCTTAGGTAATTGAATCTTTGCTTTTCACTGACAGAAAAGGAAGCTTAGCAGATACCTGTTTAGATACCCAAATTCAGGTTTATGAATCTGAGGGCAAACCACAGCCATTGTGATTTCAGTGCTCTTTGGACTTCACTGACAAATTTTTTTGACACGTAAGTTCCCTCTATAAGTAACTAAGTGAACTGCAAGGTAAAGAAATATCAGTTGATGTTATAGATGTACAAGGTGATTTGCAAACATTTTTGTATTTGTGTAAATAGGATGTAGCACACATTTTCCCATGTTAAATAAAACTCTAAAAAGCAAAATTCCTTTGAGTTCTTTCATTTCTCTTTGATTTTTTTTTCCCCAAGATTTGTCTCTCAGAAACATATTAAAACACCACAAGCAAGAGAGTAAGATAACCCACTGATGAAATGACTAGCCACATAAGTGTCCTCACTTTGCAGGAAACCTCGTCATGACTTTGCCTTGCCTACACGTTAATGAAAAAATCTTGTGTTTTGTAAATAAGCTCTGCAAAGTCTGGTGGAAAAGTGCTTTCTTCCTTGTTTCATCAATAAAGTTACTATGTGACTTTTAAAAAATTCCACTGCACTAGGAAAACTTCTGTTTCCTTTTATGTCCAGATTTAGCAAGTTTTTCAAAGCCCTTCTTATTAAGAAAAGTTGTGGCTGGAAACATGGATAAGTAGCTACAACGATTCCAGAAGCTATAAATATTCAGGTTATGATATTCGAGAAATTATCCTCTCTGAGGTGGGCTTTATTGTCTCCTAGGGCCCACCTGCAGCTAGGTAAGGGCCTCCCAAAGTGAAGTGGATGGTCCTAAATGATCATAGGTGGTTTTTAAAAAATAAACACAAAATTAGTTTCACACCTACTTAGACAGTTTAGAATTTTAATGTGCAAAGTCTGCCAGGGCTTTGCAGTGAAATAAGGCCATGCATTCAAGCTCCCTAAAGCCAATCAGAAAGCAAGGTTGAGTACTACCCATTTCACAATTAGGAATCACTGCCCAGTTCTAGGCCATATTATTAATGAACAAACTGTTGCTTTGATCATATTTTAACATTTATAGTCTCACAAAAAATAACCTTGTTAAAAAAGAACTGCATTAGCCTGAGAACACCTAGAAGAACTGAGATCTGTTTCATGTCATTGCCTGCAAACACTCTAGCACATAGAGGGTTTTTCCTAGATTTTTCTGTACATGACTCCTCCTCTCCCTCCTTTCTACTGAGAGGCTCCCTCTGGGTTTATTTTGATATGTTTATAGACTTGTTTGTGACTTTGTGATGTCTGGTAGCTTTGGCCCAGGTCAAAACCTTATATCTGAGATCACCAGCTACAAGACAGTTTGGTCCCATCTGCTGAGATGGTCTCTGACCACCTCAAAGAGCAGCAGCAGACAGCAGCCCCACGCTCTGCCCCTTGCATTGCATATGCAGTCAGCTTGCACGGCCTGCATTTGCTTTGGATTTATTCCACATCTGCCAGACAGCTCTTACGCACATTACCGATTTGGAAAAGCTCTAGGTATGACTGAGCTTTGCTCAGATCCGTCGTTGGCTTGAGAGGAGGGATGGATAAAGGTATGTTTCACTGTTTTATGTCAGCATTTCTTTATGTCATTAGACACTGGGCAGTGCTTGTTCTTACTGCAGCTCAGGTATTCTGATGGATTTAATTCTGCCACCTCTATTCCATGTTCATAGCAGTGTGATGAAGCAGCCATAGGCTGGGCAGCTTTCCTTTCCTTCATACAGTTTCTGTGCAAATCTTCTGAAAACTGTCATCCAGTTCATCTTCACCACTGGGCAAAACTATAAAAGAAAAGGGTTATGGTGTTGCCAGGGATCTGATAAACTGTAGGTTCTTTGAATGTCTTTATTAGCAGAGTTTTAAAATTTCCCCTTCATATTTGAGATATATCTGAGTTCTAGTGTCAGGCTACCAAAAGCAAGCAAGCAAACAAGCAAAAAAACAAAACAAACAAACAAACAAAAAAGCACCAAAACAAAACTACTCCAAACATTTAGGCCTTATGCTTCCCTTTTTCTTACAGAAATTGAGTAGGAAATAGAGCAGGACTTTACTGGGAAGTCAGAGGTGAACAATACTTGAAGGAAATGAAGCTACTGCAACAGCCAGTTACAGAGAGAGAAGAAAACATTTATCAACATCCAACCACAATTATTATTTAGCATTTGCAAAGAAGTAGTGCTTGAAGATACTAAGCAGCAGGCCACTGTATCTGGCACTGTTTGGATTTGTGTGAGAGAACATTTATTCATCCTGAAAAAGCCTTGTCAATTAATACTGCATTGTTTCAGTTTACTTTTTTTATTTGCTTAGTGACTCATGCATCTCCAAAGATATTAGTTTTTGATAGGATAATTCTGCTGTATTTTGTATTAGGTTTCAGCCCTCTGAAGTTCCTGCTGAGAACAACACGCAAATAATGCTACATTATAAATGCCCTCATAATTGCAATAATTAAAGAACTATAGTCCTCAAAGTGTGTACCGAAATGCACATTCCCTATCAGGCTTAAATGTTCCATCTCCACTTGAGTCAGTGTGGGACAGATGTCTTAGGTAGTAAATTAGTAAAATACCTTAGGAAATAATAGCTATTCTGCTGCTTCCAAACATTTTGGCACCCTTCACCCCATTCACTTCTGACTATCTAACACCTCTCATCTGATTCATAAGCACCAGTTAGCTCTTCTGCTTTTGAAATGAGATAACTGGCTCCCTGTGACACCAGACTTGTGGGCTGTCCCAGGGAGATGCTACTTAGGGATCACTTCCACCAGTCCTGCATCAATGCCTACAGCCGCTCCACTGGTGCCACTGCCTTGGCTACAGTGACATGATTATTTTGCTTCAGTAGGAAGAAATGCATTTTGCCGCATAAACACAGCCACTGAGAGCAACTGTTTTCCTGAAGTGCTTCGTGTCTTCTATGCTTATGTGCTCCCAGCTCCTTGCAGTTCATGAGCGAAAATTGTTTCCAATCTCTTTTTTTGATAATGATAATGATGATGACAACAGCACATTTATATAACAGTCTATATCCAGGTCTATGATGACTAATCTAGAACACGCAGTTCTAGGACATATATGCCTACACTTCACAGCTATCTTCCTAGATAAGCAACACAATCCTGACAAATTATACAACATTTTTCTCTATTCTCAATGAAAAAGTCGGATTTACTTATAGAGAGATCTACAAGAACTATTAACAAAGAGCTGTGTGAGTCCACTCCAGCTGAAATCCATCTCACCTCCTCCTCTTCTGAGATACCGCCTTCGGAAAGATGAGTACTTTTGTACAGTGGTGTGGTTTTAAGAGCATGTGTAACATCAAGACCATTCATGATAAGACATTTACAAAATCACAACCTATTTAACCTTGTCAACCCACCTATAAAGAGCAGATTGAAATTACACATTAAAGTGTAGGCTGTTCATTTTGGCTTGACTACACCAGCAATCGCATCATTATAATTTCTGAAGGGGGCAAAACAGCATTAGCACTGGGAAGGAATCATAAAATTACATTAGATGCTATGATTTTAATTACAGCCACTGGAATGGGGAAGAGGACAGAATAGGAAATACAAATACAAAGGGAGTATAAATAGCATTCCCCCTTAGGAGATTATTATTTATCTTACTCTGGCTATAAAGTTGCTGTATTTTCCTAACTTCCTGCTTTGGAAAGAAGCCACTAAGTTAAAAGACAATGTGGTTTTGTAACGCAAAGATGATTTTCTTAATTTATAAATCTGGATATTCCAATGCAATGATTAATTTAAAATAAAGACTGGAAAACAGTTTAGCGAATTCTAATCGCCTTTTCAAAGGAAGAAGAAAAAGGAATAATTTTTTTCCAAAGAAAATGAATTGTGAATATTAGATGCCACTCTCCTTTCTTGTAGATAGGTTGCTCTGAAAGTAGTGCCTCCTATTTATTTCCGTGGAAACAACAACAGATACAAAGAGCACGATAACACTATCTGATAGAGCAAACTATCAGCCACAAACACTATTTTTCAGCATAGTGACCACCATTAGCTGTGCTTTTTCACTAGCAATGAACAAAAGAGCCTGTATTTCACACTTGTAAAAATCTGTACCAGCGGAGGTAACCCACTGTCACTGTCAACACTGCTGAAACACACCACCCACCACCTCGCTGTGCTCACATCCACTGGCTGATCTCCATTAATATTCACCAAGTATCAATGAATATTGATGGGCACCATTTTTTTCCGCATGGAGGATTTCATTGACACACCTTTGCTTCATATGTACTTCCATGTCAGATGCCGTTCTATCAGACCTCCCCTCTGTTGCCATCACATGGCAACAAAATGTAATGGAATATTGCTGGGTAGGTTCAACCTCTGCAGCCATTCATCACCTGCCTCTGACGCTGTGGGTCAACATAATAAAACAGAAGGCATTACTTTCAGAACAGCCTTTGTGCATCCCTTCATAGGCTGGTTTATTCATTCTCACATTCACCAGATGAGTTTTCACTGAGTTGATTTGTACTGAATGATATCTCCTCATGATGCAAAATATTACTGTCTTTTGGTAAGGGGATCACAACTGCCCCGAACACTATATAAAGAATAAACAGATTTTGAAATAAAATCCTTAAAACAGATAATCAAATCCTGTGGTTGATGTTATGATCAACAGTGCACGACACAGTTATCTCTAAATGCATGCTTACTGTCATTTAAGGCACCACAGGATGACGGGAAGTTCACTCCATCCCACCAGAGCCAGGACATGGAGGTGCCCTGTATGAACAGTTGGCTGTGGGGGTCCCCAGAGGCCTCTGTGAGTCAGGGCCAAGGCCCAGCATTCATGATGCCAATAATGCAAGGAAAGCCTATATAGGAGAAGAGAAAGAGTACCTGGGTGGGCATCTGATAGCCAGCCAACATCAGCCCACCACAGAAGGTTAACTTAGAAGACATTGGAAAAGTATAAATGGAATCAGCTTGTGCTGCACTGCTTGTTAAGTGGTGAGATACTATGCCAGAAGGTGGAGCAATCAGAAGTTACACCAGTTTAGCCAAAAGAGTAACCCAAACTGTTAAGCACTTGTTTCACTCTGAAACTTTTCTGCAGTTGTAGGAAGAGAACATCATAACCTACTTTCCTCACTATACTGGATCTTATCCTCATTTTCATTAGGCACATTCATGGTTGCAAGATAAATACAGGTGCCATAAATAGAACTGTATTGGCATAAATATGACTTCCCTACTCAATCCTTGGCTTATGTAAACAGATACACACTTACTTCCAGCAAGTGCTGATGTTGGAGCACCATCGTTTCAAGCCGTCAGTGTAGTCTTCCACAATAAGGCAATTTAAATCCGGGGTAGGACGAACATACTGTTGAGGCTGTCTACTTTCCTCCCTTGATTACAGAAGGAGTTTTGTGCAGTAACACCCTTTACGGTAGCATTCCTGGCATTCAGTCTGGGAAGGCAGGTAAAGATTTCAGCTGCAGCATGCCTGCAGGGAACTGCCTAGCTGGGGCCTCACAGGTAGATCTCCAACATCTCCCTGCACAGCAGCAAAAAAGATTTACCGATAAACTGCTGAAGTGGACAGCAGTGGCCCATAACACACTAGCTGATGGAAGGATTTAGTCTCTGAGAAAAGCAGAGGCTCTTGTCCACTTTCTCAGGCTGCCACTGAATTCCCAAAGCAGCAGAGGCTAAGAGTTTAGCCTTGCAGAGAAGGAAGAGAGCACTTGTGAGGCAGCAATTCCAAGTGCTAACGAAGGTCTAAGTCATTCTCACAGGCTGTCATAAACTATGGTATTGGACTCTCCAGGGTTTCCAGTTAGTTCTCTCAGTGATGTTAGTTTGAAGTCCCATATGTTAACACAGAAATAATTTACAAGGCAACACTTTGAGAGTTAGCTTTCAAATGTTATGGGTTGCTGAAATTACGGAACACACAAAGATTAATGAGTGCAATCGCACATAATTTCTCTTGAAAGAAACAACAAGCCATCTTTAAAGAGTAATTAAAATGTAATATACTGTCTGAGAGATTACTTGGATGTCATAACTTCAGCTCCTACACCATAGCTGAATACATGTTGGACATCCCTGGGACTGCCATTAAATTAAATGGTGTGGAGGTCTGCAAAGGTACAGGGATGTCCTGCCCATATAGAATCAGTTGTAGGACATGAATAAACCTGATATTTATTTACAATTGTTAACCTTCTTGCACAGAAAGGCACATGCAAATTTAGACACCGCATTTCTGATTTTTACCTTGCCATGTAACTTCAGATTGAGCATTAACTCCTTTCACAGTGGACTCTTTCAATGGCAGTGCTGTTCCCTGTGAAGCATGCAGTGAGCAGTTAATCATTAATTCTTCACGGTTCATATTTGCTGTCTGTTTTACTGCTTATATTTTGATATAGATCCTTAGAATAGACTTAATGCTGTCATTAGGAGTCACATGCTGGATCTTTATCTAAACTATTATCACAGTCCAGACATAGCATTACAACCTCCTTTTGTAAGCCGAAGTTACAGAGTTCAGAAAGCCTTAAAACTTTATAAATACTGTGTTTTTTATGGTAACGGAACAGCTGCAGTGGCAGACTGACACACATACACGCCCTGCCTGAGTCTGCCGAGTTGCTGTAAACAGGTGCACCTAAAGGTTAAAGCTGTTATTTTTTTTTATCCATGACACTAATTTCATTGTTAAAGTCTAGCTTTACAACTGTGTGTGTTAGGATAACGTAAAGGAATTCAGACACATATGGTGAATGAAATTCCTGGCTTTTGCAAAGGGGGTGTATTTTTTAATAGAAATTGCAGTTAATGTAGTGCAGATAAAACAGCTGGCTACTGAAAAAAAAAGAAAAAAAAAGAAATTGTTACTGATGGAAATCATATGTCACGTGATTTGTGGAGACTTCCCTCAAAATAATCAAAATCACCACAAAATAGTGTGAATAATAGTACACAGCATTTTAGGAAGCTTTATGTCTTTCTTTTAAAATCTCATACATAGTCAGGAGTCAGTCATATGTACTTTGGAAGAACTAGTTCTCACTGTGTTAAAGTGCACCAGTGGGAAGGCAGAGGCATTTGAAAACTTCAGCCCAAGTGCTTTAGATCAGGTCTCTAGGCCTGTGGCTAACCTACTCAGCCACACTAGAAACACTTTCCTCCTCCTTGCTGTACACTAGTGTGCTTGTTTCTTGGAAGAGAATCTCAAAGATCAGGATCAACAGTAAATAATTGCATTTGGCATTCCCCTTTGCTTACACCTTCCATAGGGGATGCAGTGTATTTAGCTTACATTGGACAAGTCATTTCTCACACAAGTAAGTGGTTTTCTTTCTTCCTTCCAGCCACTTTTGGTGAGTCTGCCTAACAGGATATGATGGCCCAAAAAGGCCAAGGAAAATCTAAACAGGCTTCTATTTAGAACAGTTTTAAACAGCTTTTTGGATCAGTGCAGTCTTTCATAGGCTAATAGTTCAGCTGAGAAGTGAATGATAGAAGCCTGGGTGGAGTTCTGTGTTCAAGATCATCCACTGCTGCTTCCGGTATCTCTGCATGACACTGAAAACTGTGCCGTACAGACATATCCTCAGCCCATGGCTTTTAAAAGGCCAGCTTTCACTTGTTTCAAGTGGCAAAAGTCCTTTGGAAAGATCATAGAGATGAAGCCAATGAAGACATAGAGAAATGTCGTGTAGAAATTAATTGAGAATTAGATCATTTCTGAAAGTCTGCAAGCCATGCAAAATATTCAACCCAAGATTTCATCTCTGCTTTAGAAATTGATGAATTGATTTAAAGGTTCTCTTTAAATCCCACTGGGCTTTTTTCTGATGCTTGGTAATTATGTAGAAATTGAGTCTTGTCTTTTCAGGATTTGTATTTGCTCAGCCAGCCACTGAACCCAAAGTTTCCAAAGAGATTTTTTGTCACTCTTTTTTTACAGAGTGTTTCTTGGCTTTAAAATTGGCAGTCATGGCCTGAGCATTTCTGGAGATGTCACAATTAGGCTTCCTCTGCACGATATCTGGAAAAGTCATCTTTGCTTGCCTTTGAAAAATTAAAGTTTCCAGACAATTTCCCTATAGCAAGACAAGTTATGGACTTGTAATGTCTCAAAGTTGATTTAGAGGTATTTCTTAGAGAATACTATTTATATTCTTCAACTAGAGTGGCTTTGCATAAAACCCACTGGAGGATGACTATCTGGGTTTAAACTTCCTTGAGTTTAAATCCAAGAAGTTCCACGTATTTTTCAGGAATTAGTATATCAGTGATCTGATGTCAGATTTGATAAGAGTTAGTTACCACATGTGCTCAGTATATGATCCAGAACAGGAAGGACAACATCTAATCAAGTAGATGACAAAATGCAGCAACAGATATCTGGAATACGTGTTCCTCAGAAGGAGAATATATTTTGCTATTGGGCAAAGTATCACAGAAATCAGCTGCAATTGTCTCTTTTCATTTGGTGTCTGTGATTCAGATATTTGAGTTGTTCTGAGCTATCTCCACTCCCCTTGAAATTACTGAAGAAAATGACAGTGATTAATCTTTTCTTCTGGCAGTTTGCCAGTGAATGAAAAGCGTAATTTCCCCTTATCACCTCAGTTTGCACAGCAGATTTATGAATTCAGCACAGACTGCAATTTGGGCTTATTTCAGACAAATTTTTAAAACAGATAGATAGGGTTATTTATCAATCTTTAAATCTTTTAGCCCTCCCCATAACCCCTATCTCACAAACGATGATTACTTTTTTTTCCGATGTCCTCTGACTGGCAAGGCCCAACATTTTTCAGTATTTCTCCAATGTCTTCAGAGGATGGCTCAGGCCCCTGCTTTCCTGCTTTTAGGGACTAATTATCAATGAGCGTCACACCGATGTTATCTGAGAGCACTTGTCCTTTTCTTTCAAAAATCTTTTTGTAAAATGTTCTGCTGATATTTTCCTTTCCTGATCCTGACAAAATAATCTACATTGTAAGCGAATATGTATGCATTGTACGTAGCTTTTGAAAATAATTGATACATAGAATATTAGGAACAAAAGTCCCATAAATTTGAGTGAAAAAGGAATTGATAGGCTCAACTACAGTTTTTCACAAATGTCAATAGTCAGCTTTGGTTGTATGCCAATAACAGTGCTCACGTGCATCTGGGCAGACCAGAATACATTTATTTATAATGCGTATCGTTTTCTGACCTTTTATTTAAGCCTGAATTTGATCACATTCTGTTTCTTCTTTCATGTTTCATTATTCTTTTGTCTCAGTCTTATGTTTCACTAGGAATCAATTGTTGGTTTTCTCTCTTATTTCCAGTACTTCACTTTATTTTTAATTCCTTCTCATAACTTCCCCCTACCTCTTTTATAATCCATCTCCAGAGCTCTCATCTAAGCCTCTTAAGTGTACACAGCTATGATAATATAGCACTAACAAGAGCATAACACGTAAATAAGTCTGTTTCCCAGAAATAACTGTATTTCTTTTGGCTGTCCCACGGCATGACAAAACTAGTTCTACTGATGCCACCTGAAGTAAAGGTTTACTATGTTTGCTTTCACTGACGCCAGTATAAGCCAGAACTAAATTAGAACCATTAGCCTTGCTGATAAAATTGGCAGCACTCGCTGACAGTAGCAGTGGGAAAGGCAAGTGCAATATAAGATGATACACGTGCCCCAGTTCCTTTTCAGATCAAGATATGACTCACAAATTCTGGAATCACAGAAATGGCAGCACTGGAGCCTAGTCAAGAGGGAAGAAAAAAATCCTTTCCCATGGAGAGATTACATTCATTAAGATTTAGTTTTGAATTTTTTACAAATTGTTTTATTATTTTTCCTCAGTTTCTGCAGGAAGACAGTCTGGCTCGAAGATAAAGCAAAGAAGAATAACAAAATTTAAAGTAATCAAACAGAACTATCAGAAATCTTCCTGTCAGTCCCCAAACTCTAAGCTTTCATTTCTATTTAAGAAGTTGTGTGGCTCAGAGGTTTAGCTATCGACTCTAAATGACTACCCCAGAAGCAGGGAGCATTTGAAATAAATGGAACAGCTGAACAGCTGTCTGTATTGCCTCAGCTATGAAAGGGACTGTATTCCCATAAAGAAACAAAAATAATGAAGTATTTTCTTGGGCTGTGGTAGGAGGCAGTTGGGAGCTTTTCCCTTTCAGCCTGCTGGTTCCCCCTGGAGCTTAGAGAACACCTGTTCCAAGGAACTTCTGGGGCTGAATGGCTAGAAGGTGGACTTCCTTCTGAAACAAAACCAAAGTGCATTGAGGATGCCAACATTCCATAGTAAAGGAAAGCTGTTCTACAATTTCTTCAGTTGTTTGGTTTTCTTGGTTTCAATCAAACAGAAGAGTGATTTCAGACAAATGCTTTCTTGCTTTTGGGCTTGTGATTCACATTTGCATTTTTTTGTATTTATTTTTTTAAATATTCAGTGGAATATAATCTTTTTTTCTTACAGATGAGAAGTAACAAACCCAAAAAGGCATTTTCTCCTGACTCATTTACACTAAGTTGTTTTTAGTCATCTGATTGATGTGATAATGCCTGGGCCACTGCAAACACCTGTTTTCTGGAGCACAAAAGAACACCAAATATTAGATAGTCTTGCAGCCTATCACTGATACACATTTTGTAATTATTTTAAATTAAGTGCAACTTGCACATTTACTTCAAGGAAAATAAAATTGGATTATTTATGGGCTGGGTGGAAGGATTAGAGAAGACAAAACATCACCTTTTCCTCTTCCACCTTGCTGTTAACCATTATGACAGAGCCAGCACATCACAGCAGAGCATCTACTGTAAACACAGAAAGCAATCTCCCCAGCTCCTCTGCCCCCCACTTCCAAATAAGGTAGAACATGGAATAGAATTGGCAGACGTGCAGAGACGCACCTCTGGGAGGCAGATTGACCCCAAGGATGTTGGTGGTTGTGTTGTTTATTCAGTTTACCATTAATTTCCAAGGGAGAAATTCCACATTATGGAAGAGAACGAAGAGATGGCATATTGTTTTAACAAAAATAACTTTGGTTTTTCAGTTAAAAAAAAAAAAATCTTTTGAAATACAGAAAACTGTTTTATTAAGAAAATAAAACCCATTTTAAAGCATATTAAAAGCGTTAACATAGTGCCTGCTGCCAGAAGAGCCTGACTGCCGTGCTGTTGAAGGAAGGAGGACAGCATCGTTATTTATGAGCGTCTGCACTCCCTCAGCCTTTCATGAAATCCTAATTTTATCTGGCAGCTCTTAAGAATCTCTGAGAAACTGGGTCCTTTGTTACCACTGCCTACATCTAACTTCTGCACCTAAAAAGACATGGATACTTTTTTTTTTTTTTTTTTGTAAATAAAGAAGAAAAGTCTGAACTTTCTGACATTAATATCACACTACTGTGTTAGTACCTCAACCTTCAAGCTCCTCTCTCTGGGAAAGCATCAGTAAGTGCCCCTTTTTGCTCAACTTCCACCTCCAGGTTTTACAATAGCTTTTCTGAGAACAGGATCAGGCCTCAGTCATCTGTTTTCACTGGGGAGAAAAAACAAGACAAAACAAAACAAACAAAACCCCTTTATTACTCTTTGACAGGAGCATAGTTAAGCCTGAGGGGGTTATTTTTCTCCCATTAACTTTTTCTAACCTCATCCCTCCCTCATTTTCTTTCTCAGATTTACTCCCAAAGAGTTCATGCGTATGTGTTCATGTGCCTATGTATCTATCTGTGCATATATATGTGTATGAGTACATTTATGCATGTAACAAAAAGGAGTCTATCTGTTCAGATAGCTTGCTGTTTGTTTGCAACATGACAGTTAGTCCTTTTGACATCAGTGTGAATAAACAGCCTGATCCAATAAAATAGGACTTTTCACTCCCAAGAGTTTGTTCCAAGACTGTGGAACCCAGGCTAGCAAAGAACATCTGCAACAGTTAGTGGAAACCCTAAGAATTCTTGCGAATAAATAGATTGGAAACTAAGTTGGAAATTTCTCAGTGAGATATAAATTTTAAAAAATGAAATCCAGTTGAAGTACCCAGTTTCCCTGGGAGAATATAAGTCTAGCCAACCCAAGTCTAAATACATGTGGTAGTGATCACTGTATGCTGTTTCCAGTTTATCATCAAAAACAATCATAGCTAAATTATTGTCATTTAAATTTAGCTTCTAACAAAGAAACGTTACATTTCTTATCATACATTTCATTGCAAACCTCCTTAATAATGAAAATGCTGGAAAGACATGTAACAATGCATTTTTTAAAACTTCCTCCATATTTTCTTCCTATTGCCAGATAAAGCAGAATCCTATATGAACTTTAAATGCTTCAATAAATGCTACAGATGATGAACAATACAGGTCAGGTAGATTTAAGTGTTCTGATTCAAGTTATATTTCAGTCTGCTCTTCAATATATTCAACATGGTAACTCTCTGCAGATTAGACTCAGTGAAAAACCTATTTTCAAAGGCTGAGGTCTCTCAACTGTTTTGACTTTCACTTCTTCACTTTTTCTTTTCTTCTCTGTTGTTTCATTTTGGTTGTACACTTACTCTTCCAGTTACTGAGTTAACACAGTCCTTTAAAGACTAACTTCAGGGTTCTTTTATGCTTACCACTGGCACAGTATTATAAAACAAAACATTTGGATTATATAGATCATAAGCTAATAGATAGAAGTTACCAGCTTTGTGGGAAATACTTCACTCATAAAAAAAATGCAATATTGTTTGGCTTGATTTAGTATAGCTTTGCTACATAGAATATGATTTAGTATAGCTTTGGTACGTAGAATAAATTATTTGCAGCTGGCTTATCCGTGCACATGCTCTGGGAGTGAGGAACACATGCATGTTATCAATTCATTATTTGTGCTACAGTTCATTACCAGTTACGTGCTGGACAGCGACATCACTGTCTACCCTACATGTGAGGTTATAACATTAGTGGCAATAGATATCAAGCTGTTGGGAAGAAAGCAAAAGCTAGACTGTGGTTGGATTAACATTTGATTGCCTAAACAGTACAGCTTTGAAAGCATGGGAAAATTTGCCTAGTGAGCAAGCTGGATTTTTTTAAAAAACATAAAGGCTGCCAAGCTCCAAAACCTAAGGGGAAAAAAAGAGCTTGTGGAGAACTTTAATTAAAGCTAGCAGAGACTCCCCTCCTCCTTCTGAAAAGAACTTAAATATGTAATTTTAACTCCATACTCACACTGGCTCTTTTTCTTTACTAGTACTACTAATAATAATAAGGTTAAGCATGACATTTTTGCAAGTGCTTTCTCATCTGCCAGTACCTATTTCACCTTTGTCTATTATGGTGAAGAGGAGACAGTCTATTCTAGTGAATATTCACCCAAATTGATCCACAAGTCCTAGGTTGGCTTTTTTTTTTTTTTTCTTTCATTAATATGCACACGTACCAAGTGCTTACTCAGTTTAGTCTGTTTTGAAGGCAATATGAAGTTTACTACCACTATTTGCTGTATGGATACAGACTACTGAAGTGACTGTACTAAGGATGCCCTCTACTGAGAAGAAAAGGATAGAAGTTTAAATATCAGCTACAGGGAGGCTTCCTTAGTTAGAACAAGTTGCAAAAAAATGGTTTTAAGGAGTAGAGAACATTTCAGTATTTCATTTTTCAATTTTGGAACAGTTCTGTTAATTGTGTGGACAGATATGGCCACAGTACTATAGGTTATACTAAACTAAACTGGACCAGGGAATGTTCCTGAACAATTCTGATGAGTTCAAGTGCTAGAAGGATGCCTACAAAACTGTGGCGGACTTCAGTTAGCGAACTAAAACCATTTCTGAGCATTATTTGGCAGTGTTCCTTATGAGTAGTGTGGAGTTGGCCATGTTGTTTTGGGTGGAAAGGGATTTAATACTGTGCTCTGTACTAGCTGGCATCATGTGAGAAAATGATCCTAGACAGACTTATCAGTAGAGATACAGCTCAGAAAACAGGGACACAAGGAATCTGATAAGATAATATACTTCTTGTAGTGGGGTTGATAATGCATAGCAAACACTCAGTGATCCTGATGGATGTTTGTCTCTCCAGTTCTCAAAAATATTCAAAGGCAGAGATCCATTTGCAGCTATTTTAATTGATAACCATAGTTGGTTTTCTTCAAATCTTACCTAAATAAATGCAAAGTTTCACTGGTATTAATTTTCCTAACCTAGTAGAATAATGAAAAATCTTTATTTCCTCTTTGCAGCTATCATTTAATTATTTGGAGTGACAATACACGATTTCAGTTTTTTATTAAGATTGAAAATACTGGTCCAAGATTGCTAACTCCTACTGAAATGTCTTACAGACAAGTGCTAAAACAAGAGCTGGAGAAAGAAGAATGGTCTCTCACAATTATCCGTGAACAACTGCTAAGAAGTCTATCAGCAAGTCATGAATGCTTTAAAACTACAACACCTGTGATGTATTCCTGTAATACATATTACAGGTGCAAATAGACTGGAAAAGCTTTCATGATTATTAACTTTGGTGTTGTCAGTGAGCACATGATGTACAAACATTTATGGGACAGCAGTAAATGTTCTGCGTGCTGAGCGAGAGGGTCTGATGAGCACAACATTTTGTGTTCAGAGGAGTATCCTGAGAGAAAAGCAAATATGTAGTCTGAACACTTTCTACGTGGTCTTACTAGTGTGCATGGGTTGAAATACTTTTCGAACATTACCACCTTCAAAAGTGACAGATTCCATTGAATCCAGTGTTCAAGGCATGCCCCAAATATGACCGTCTGCATTTTTTATCTTTTAAGTTATGATTTACAGACAGATATAACTGGTCTTGACCATCATAAGAGCCCTCTTCCTGGAGCCTGAATATCTTCTACAGTAATAAGGAAAATATTTCCAAGGGAAAGAAAAGCATTTGTTTTGTTCTTGTTTTTTTGTTTGTTCATTTGTTTTTGCCAGAAGGAATGCAGCACTAGAAAAATTATTTTTCAAATTATGCTACCCACATTTATTTAAAAAGTTTTCTCTATTCTGTCTGAAGGAAGGGCTGTTTCATTCCCAATTTCTGTGTCAAAAGACGTGGCCTGTTCCCTCCTTTAATGTGGGAAGAGGGAACCCACCAGCATTTTTTCACTGACATAATCTGGGCACTCTCCTGATTCAACCACGTCCCCTCCCTTTTCAAGGGTCTTTGAGGTTTTTCTGTCTTTTGATCCCAAGTGAGATGGAGCCAGACATGCAAATGATTCCCATCACTTAATGGCCTAGCCATTGTTATCTGAACCTCTTTGAAGTTGGGAACCTGCAGCTCTTCTCTAAGGCCATTGTTTCACCTTTCCCGTTAAGTTCTGCAGCCATTCCTTTTACAGTTCCCTTTGACTTTGCAATGCATTCAGCCAGTCGTCATTACTAAAGACCCCACAGAGTCCCTAAAGATTACACAGTTTTCAAGTATTGTCAGAAGTACAATTTCAAGAGAGTCTGTCTGAGTTATCACAAGAAAATGATTTCTTTCTGACTATGACAAATCACACAAGGTACATATGTTAGATGGTATTCCTTGCCTTCACCTTCTTTTGAATGGAGTGTGCATCTGCAAGCTGTAACACAATGATATGGGACTGCATGTCTCTGGAAGATAAGGCATCATCCCACTAGGATCACTGGTGACAAGGAGCCAGTAGATAATATTCAGTCTAGTCTATTCTGCAGTCTAAATACTAGACGTTTAAAAAGTGAAAATAAATCAACACTGTTCTTATTGCATTGCATAGATTTGTCTGTATTCATGTTCAGACAATGCTACATAGAAATCTTTACCATTCTTGAATAAAGTTGGCTACCTAATAAGGCAGCAAGAAAGCATCAAAGTGTGAGTAGAGATTTTGCACAGAATACTTTCAAAATAATTAACAAAGTGCCTAAATTAGGAGAGTGGCATGCTTCTCAGTGAGAGAAAGGAAGGATGTTCAAGATACTATCCAGTAACCTTGTCTTTCAAATATCATATTTTGCTGTGAAGATAATCAAAATATAATGGCAGGACAATATTTGCAGATGAAGGTAACATCTTCTGCTCAGTCAGCTAACACAGGTGGAAGAATTGGACAAACTGCAAATAAAGAAAACTTTCTCCAGGTTGGAAAGAGAAGCAGAAAAAGATTCCTCAAATTGGAACTGGAAAGTATATCCTTTGTTAACAATTTCCAGGACCTGTTAATCCAACTTTTTGATATGCAAAGGAGGGAGTTATCAAAATGAATTGAGCTAAAAGGGAAAGAATCCTTAAGAAAATCTACAATCTGGTATGTAACAGGAGTGGCCATAGTTGCTGGAGAATTTTATTTTGTCTCAATGGCTTTCAATTATGTCTTAATAGTTTCGTATAGTACTAATAATAAAAAAAAGATTTCTTACTATTCCTTTGAAGTTCTAGTACTTTCTCAGTGAAAGCCATGATCTCATATATTTCTGGTTAGGACTGGAACATATGCAGAGAAATCACAGTCATCTCAGAAAGAAAAATGGGATGAATATTCATAATTTTGTTCTGTAAAGTACCACCCCCACCCCAGAGCAGAGAATAAGAAAGTGAAAATAATCAAATTGAGACATTTTTTGTGAAAGAACCAAGCAAGATTGTAAAGGAATATTTTTGGGTCAGTACAAAATACTTCAACCCTCTATCAAAGATATTGTTTAATTTGTAGTTTAACTCACCACCCCTTTTTAACTTTTTAATCTTTTTCTTGCTTTGTTGTCATTGCTACTTTAACTGAAAACATCACTTCAAAATAAAAAGTCAAGAAATTTAATGTCCAAAAACTGATAGGCTGTCCCCAAGTATGCTGATAAACTGGGATCTCAGTTTGACATGATAGCTAATACAGTGTGATTGCTTATCTTCTTCTTGGTTCGTTTTAATCTTGTGTCAACAGTTCCTTGCTCCCTGTGAGACAGAGCAGACTTTTACTCTATGTTACTAAAAAAACTTGTCTTAAAAAATCCTGATTATGTATAAGTCTACTTCAAATTATAGCCATGCATACGATAAAGGTTCTGGGCTTTCAATTGAGCTTTTTTGCATGAAGACAGGTGATTATTCAAAAGTGAGATATTTCTCAGAAATGATATGAGGCAGACAAAGTTTTGAAGCATAGTTCGGTTTCAGAATCTGCTGATACTGAAAGTTTCCATCCAAAAGCTGACTGTTTCGTTTCCTGTCATTTCACTTGCCCTGCTGATAGGCTATGAACTGGATTGCTAGGGAACTAAGTCTGAAAGCTGCCAACCCTTCATCAGCTCATATGGTACATAAATATGCTACACTGTTAAATGCATTGTTCCGAGGAAGTGATCCTCAGTTAGATCCTCACTTGGTAAAAGTGTTGCAAGTAGTTTATATCCACATCATTCAGCTTTAGCCCTCCTGGAGAAGACCATGTTCGCTTGTCACACATCCCTAAGTTATATCTGTACTCCTTGAATTTCTTTAAGTCCCAAAACTTCAATTTGCTAAATACATACTGCTAAATACAGTAAGCCAAGAAAATCTTTGGCACCTTGTAGAAAAGCTAGGATTGCAATGGAGAACATTATTTTGCAAACCTGTCCAGTTTCATTGCTTGGGCAACAAATATGGCAACAGCAGTATAACCTCAAATGGTATTTCCTAATGGAGCATTTGCTTATATCATAGCAGAACATCAGAAGATTATGAAAGCAGTTGAGATATCATGATTAAGGTGGGTGGGTATACAGATTAATATGAAGTCAGAAACAATGGCAATAGCACCATAAGAAGAGTCCAGGCTGAAGAAAGAAAGCAGATTAAACTCAGGTATGTGAACTGCCCATTACAGGTAGACTAGCTACTGTGAAAGTTCCCTTTGTGCAAAATCAGAGGAAGACTAGCTCCTCTACATACCAGACAGTAGAGAAAACATAAAGAAACCACTATAGGGAGAAATGGCAGACACAGTAGTGTATAGGCACAGAATAATCAATAAATGTAGAAAAAAAAAAAGAGAATATTATCTCTGCAAAGTAAATTTTTTGAGGTGCTATTGATATCAAATATTTTTCTGCTATTGGAGACACAGCAAAATATTTGTCTTTATTGATCAGTCTTTTCTGAAAAATAAACCTCCATCTAGCTTGCATTGGGTAACGTTTTTGTTTGTTTGTTTGTTTTTGTTTTTCAATGAAAATTAGTAAATATTTTGATGATAAGGTATGTAAATAGTGTCTTTGTCCAAGGAAAAACAAATTGAAGACCATAATCAGAGAATCTGAGCAGTGACAGAAGTAACCAAAGATATTCTCTAAATAGAAATAACATTTTGTAATAAACTGGATAGAAACTCTATCAAAGAAGAATAACATTCTGGGGAAAGAATAAGAACCACAGAAGGGTCAGGACCATCATGGCCTGCTTGGCTGAATAGTAGAGGGAAAGACATGAGTGAGAACATTACAGTACAAAAATAGGAATGAGATAAAAGCATAAAGCATGTTATTGAAAAGAGTAAAATTCATTGCAGAATACTCACTTCTCATTTGTCCATGTGTCTCCACACTGTCATTCTCAGACAACAGAAAAGGCAAAAAATGAAAAGTTAGGGGTGTGTGCATGGCCTAAAAAATTTTGTGCTCCGAAAAATGAAAAATTTGTTCATCATCTTATTTAAATGTTCAATACTTTGTCTGGGTAGGCCACAGATAGCTAAAAATGCTGTGGAGGGTATCCAGAAAATATCCCTAGGAATATCAAGTGGATTTTTTCAATTATGTGTGCATTATTTGGAACTCAACTATCTTAAAAATGTTAATGGTATGGTACATATCAGTGGACAAAACTGCACTGGACTAGATTTTGTGGTTAGGAGATACACCTATCATTCGTATAAAAACAAAAACAGAAAAAAAGAAGATATTTTTGTAGCCTTCAATAAGAATCTGTTAGAGGCAATCTTGAAGAAGGTAATTGGCTGCATCTTGCTGATGGACAAACACACACAAAAGTTCTTGAATGATCAATCACTTGAACCATGTAGAAGGACTGACTTTGATAGAGCTAGCAGTAGGTGTTTTTTCTTCAACTTCAGTAAGGCTTAGACATCATGTCATATAACATTCTCATAGACAGGCTGATAAAGTGCAGGTGAAATAAGTAGATGGTGAGGTGGATTGAAATCTGGCTGAATATTCAGGATCAGAGGATTGTGATCAGTGGCACTAAGTCCAGGTGGAGAAATGTCACCATTGAACAACACTGTTCAATCTTTTCATTAATGACCTAGCGAGAGTAGACAGATGAAAAAAAATAAAGAATCACCACCAACATCATAAAAAAGGAGATGAGTGGCCAATACAAGGAGTGTGCCACCACTCAGGGGAACCTTGTCAAACTGGAGAACGGGGTAAAAGTGTATCTCATGAAGTCCAATAAAGGGAAATGCAAAGTCCTGCATCTAGAGAGGAATAACTGTAGGCATTAATACCCTGAGGACCACCTGACTGGAAACCTCAAGTTACTGATGGACACAGAGTTGACAGCTAGCAGTGTGCTCTTAAAGCAAAGACAGCCTCCTGGACTTTTGGAAAGACTACAGCTGTCAGGTCAAGGGAGGTGATCTTGCATCCCTAGGCAGCACTAATGAGCCTGTATCTGCAGAACTGCATCCAGTTCTGGGCTACCCAGTACAAGATGGATATGGTCGTACTGTAGAGTCCAGCATAGGGCTATGAAGATGACCAAAGGACTGGAGCACCTCTCCTATGAGGAAAGGCTGAGAGAGCTTGAAGCTATTCAGCCCAGACAAGAGAGGGCTCAGAAAGTGAACCAGCAGTTAATCTGCGAGGACAATCAGGGGTTCGGTGCTTCTATTTCTTAGCAACGTGAGTGAAGTCATTTTACAGTCTTATTCCACATTCCAGAAAGGAGCGACATGAATGTCAGTGAGATAATTGCCTAGTAAGGCACATAAAGGCAGCAGTTCCAACGAGTTCAGACAACTGTGCCCACAGACGTGACATAACTTGAATTTATGCAAAGACTGCTGTTTAGAAAAGATCACGACTAAGGGGAAAACCATGCTACAGCACACAAAACATCTAAATGGCAGGTGATTGTGTCATGGTCGATTGGCCATACAGACTAGTAAACTTGCTGAAATGCTCAGAGGCTTCTTCAGCATTTGAGCAGGTTTCCCTTGCAGAATCAGGATGCTCAGACAAAAAATAGAGGCTGTCTGAACCTTGAAACTGAGAAGCTGCCCTTTTGACACATTATTTCTGAGATTACTAGAACAGTGAGTTGGCAACAAGTTGTTTTGTGATACTGAGGATCACTTTACCCTAGAATGATCAGTGAGAAATTAGAGACTGCTGGAAACATATATCTGTTGGATTCCTCAGGATTGTACATATCATATCTGCTGGACGTGAGTGGTGTCATCTACAATGTTGCTCTTGCTGGCCCAGACCAGTTGGACCCAGAATTTCTTGGTGTCTGCTACCATCACCTTTCTTTCTACCACAAGGGTGATTTGAGGATTGTGCCATGCTAGACAAAGATACGTGTGCCACCAAGGTATGTGTATCACATCTGATGATCACAGCACATTCAGATATCAAGACACATAAGCAACTCAGTCTATAAGCTTTCCATTTTTCTCCATTCTTCCACTTGTCTTCCAGATGGGTTTCCTACTAAAGATTATGAGGTTTCACTGTTTACCTGAATGTTTCGCTTGTACTTCTCATCCAGCCAACGAATGTGTGGAGAGACCAAAATCAGACACCATAGGCTACATCTTGTCCCAGAGTAGATGCAGAAAAGGAACCAGGCTTGTTTATAAGCTTTTTGAACTTACAGTCAGAATTGCAAACTGTGTTCCACTAAGTGTTCTAACTGCAAGGGTGCAAGGAAGTAGGGAACAAATGTATAAGACAGATTTCATCATTTCCATTACTAATGGAAAAACTTGCAAACCATCCTCATTCAGGTGCAATCGATCAATTTACTTTCATGGTCCATGTTCTCAGGTTAGTGACTCTGATTTTAGTGACATACTTGTACACTGTAACATTTAAACATGGCCTATCCCTTTGACTAAATGCCCAGTTAAAGTTTTCATACGCACTAGATACCTGAATGAGCAGTGAGTTTGAAAAGTCCCAAGCTTCTTTCAATGGTCAAAGTAACAAGAGACCCATAAGCTTTTTTTAATTCTTCTTTCCCTTCCCCCCCCCCCCCCCCAAAGATTAGAAAGTTTTCAGTGCTCTTGGAAGAAAAACAGATGTCTTAATTAAAGTAGTAGGTAATATCTGATATCTTGCTAGTCAAGTACTGATGCTGAAGATGTTACACTGACAAACTGAAAACTTAAGATGAGAAGTAGGCTCTACCTGTGTTCATCCTGCTGTTTTCAAGCAAAAAGAAAATAAGTTCTGATATTTCAAAGAGTTTGTAAAAAGGAAGATGAAGATAAAACTTACGTATATTCTTGTTTGATTTTTCTTTCCAAAATGCAGTAATAGTAGAATTAAACAATGGAAATTACTGGTAGGATGCCAAAGGAAGCTTTCCAGAAATAGATGTACAATAAATCTGGATGAAACAATAGCGAAGGAGAAAATGAATTTAAGCCTCTAAAATGCTGAGAAGCATATTTATGAAGAGTCCATTGAATTGCACAGTCTGACCTCGTTGCCATCAGAGTTAATCAATGTTACTATTATTTATTTTTTGGACTATCACAACACAGAACAGAAAATGCTCTATGACAGCAAGCACAACTAGGCAGTTATTAGCCCGTGTTATTGTGTCTAAATCTGAGCCAAAGATAAACAAATGAGTAAGAAAATTCCATGTTGGAGCTGCTAGTGTGTAGATCTTAGTATCAAGTGTAATAACCAATCTGTAACAGGAGAAACCATGAGTATGTATATTTTTAGAGCTCTAGGAATGTTTTGAATTCAGCCTGACTGGACTACATCGAAAATGCTCTCAAAAAGCAAGTTGTTCATGTTATTTATGAACTCATAGTGTTAATGACTTAGTCAAGCAGATGAGATACTATATATAAGGGCATAACAAATGAAAATTAAGTTCACCACTCATTTTTTCTTTTCAGCAAAATTTTCTGACTGTATGAAACAGTAAACTATGGGTTTCAAAATCACTTATGTGAGGCCAATTTTAAGGGGCAAAGAGAAAATGAAATTAAACGTGAGCTATAAAAAAATTGTAAGCATGTATGGTATATTTTTATTGTAAAGATATCAAACATCAAACCTTTGATCAGAAAACTATGTCTTACATCTGCTAACTAAACCGAAAGAAAAGGGAACAGTTAGAGATTTCATACTGCTTGGTATGAACAATAAAATCGCAATATATCCTTGTGTGAAGAGTAGATAACATTGAGCAGGGAATTCTGGAGGGTCTTTTATGCTTCTTTATGCTAAAAACAAACATAATATGATGCATTTATCTGCATCAAACAAAATAAACAAATATGTATGCATGCAAGATAGAAGAAACTGGGATAAAAGAACCTCTGGTACTGTCCCACACAGTTGATTTTTTTATATTCCATTGTTTCCTTTATTCTCTCTTTGATGTTATTTTCACTTTTGTGTCTTTACTCTTCCATGTACCACCCAAAAGTCTCAAAGATACCAAAGAATTTGTGATATAAATACATCCATATTCTATGAGTATTTACAATCACAGATTACATAATTGTTAGTTATTTCCTCTCTGATACAAAGGTTTGCAGTTATGAATTAACATATTATTTTAATTATCTTGCAGTCATCTTGCAGGACAAGAATTACAAGAATATGGGCCTTTAAGATGACAGTGACTGAATTATTTCCTTAAGACATAAAGTCTCTGTTTTATTCATCGCCGAGGCATGTTGAGATTGTCACTTGAATTTGACAAATCTGAATCATGCATTCATCTGTGACTATTTCCCTTTTGTCCCCTTTATTTGCCACAGAATTAGTGGTCAGAGTGAAGGCATCATTTATCATTTTGAGTATTTTCATGTGAATCAGCACTGCTTAAGAAGTGGCACAATTCAGTTGCTGATTTGTCTTATTTATTCATTTATTAAGGAATAAGAAACTTCAATCATACTCACATCATGCATCCATGCAACATTCAGATATTTGGAATTAGACCACCATGCTGTAATGTGATGGACATCTGTTGTCTGACACAGATTTACACTGTTTATTCTGGGAAATAGAAGAGAAATGCACACAATTCAGAACGAGCTTTTATCTTTTTTTATTTCATGTAAGGAGCTTAGATGCATTAGTCCACCTGCTGTTTGCTGCAAACAGGAAGATCAGTTCCTACTGTTCCTTTTTCATTATTGTAGTTTTATTAAGGCACTGCCATTTTCAGGGTTTCTTCTTTTAATCTTCAGATAAATGCATCATATTTGTGAACTTGTTTGTTTGGTGTAGGATAAGACCAAATCTACAATGACTGTCTTAGAAACACTATTGGCTAAAATAAATTCTGCAGAATTGTGTTGCAGCTCAGGAGTACTTAAACTATGAATGACATTTGTCTCTCTTCTAATCTGTTCACTCACTTATAAATCGTAGGAAAGTTTGGCAAATTTCATATTCAATTAATGTTTTTTATATCTTGCAAAAGCAGGCAAACATTTCTATTCCATCAGGTAAGTATCCCAGACAGCAGGAAATCTACACTTCATAAATCTTAATTTAAAATTCAAACTATGGGGAAAATGGTAATTCTACCTTTGCACTGAGAGAAAAGCATCCCCATGATATCTTGGACTATTAAAGCCTGCATGTTGCTGTGCCCATGTCACTTCTACAATTAGTATTTTAACAGAAATAAATGAAGGTTGTCTGTTAAGTGCACACACATTTTCCTACAAAATCTTCAGACAGCAAATTGTATTACATTTGAATGTAGAAATTTGTTCACTATAATTGAACATGCACCCTATGAGTGTTCTCACTATGATATTTTCTCTACTCAAACATCTACTCCTATAAAATTCAGGAAAACAGAAATTTTCTTAAAAAGACTATAAAATTGCAGGAACATGACTGCCCCAGATAATACTAAAAGTTCTTGAATTTCAGTCTTTTCTGTCCTGTTAAAAACATGAGTTAGCACGTTTCAATTCCTATTTAAAAGCTAAGTATTTGTGACAGTTATCTTTCGCCTTGTTGCCTACAGGTTTAATTATTGTAGATACTCTCCTATGGTCTGATTTGCTCTACTGCACTCTATCTGTAGTCATCTGCAGCCAATACGAAACTGATGGGCATTGCTAATAAGTCAGCAAGAAAGTTCTTTGCTCATGTTTAGTCCTGTTCTTTTGAAGACTTTTCCTTTAAGAATACACTTTAGTAGACATGGCATGTATATATATATATAATTTAATAATAACTAGAAATAGATTGTATCACAGAGGTATTTCTGCCAGTTGTCAAATTAATTGCTAATCCCCTTCCATATTGCTTGGCCACATTTCAATAACTAAACAGTTTTGAGCCAGAAAGTCATTCCAAAATGTATTTATTATTTTTTTGGCCATGTTCATGCAACTAAACTAGGAAAGGATTCCATTCTGCTGCATCTCTGAGCTGAGCTTCTTTCTTCCAGGGCTCTTCCTTGTAAAGGAAACAGACTGTCACACTCTTTTTCTTACCTTCAAGTATTCTGCCACATTATGTATGTGCACACCATAACACAACCAAACAGAGGGGTTTAGTATACATGGATTGAGGTTTCTACAGATCTGAATAGCAGTTGTTTAAATCCAGTCTATCGTAAAGAAAAGAAGCATTCTTCTCTGTCAAGCATGATCTATCTTACACCCAGAACAGAACTGACATAATGGACTAATGATGAAAATTTTGAGGAGAAAAGTAGGGTGGGGGAAGTTAAATACATTTCTTGCTATCTGGTGACACCTCATTGAATGTATAAAATCAAAAAATAAGAGAAATTATTAGGAACTTTCTATATTCTGTAGAGGTGGGAGTTCTTTTACTTCCAGTTATCTGATAGCTACATATCAGAGCTTTCTCAGTATCTGACTTGCAGAAATCAGATGCTTTATGATGCTTTTTGTCCATTTGGATTTATATGCAGTCTCCAAGGAGCTTGGGAAGCAAAAGGGTGGCAGTAGTCATGAGAAACAGGTGAGATAAAACACAGATGTCAAAGCAGAAAGATAGCATTCCTCCCTGTACAAATATCTATGAATTGATATGCATTGAAGTGAGCAAAATCATTAAAGTTGTGATGGGGGGAAGGAGAAGGGGAATGGGAATGGGAAGGGAAAAAGCAAAGGAAGGAAAAAGAGTAAAATTTTTTTTGGGGGAACTTCCTTCCTGTATAGCTTAAAAAACACTGGGGAGTGGAAGGGGAAAAAGTAGACGAATGCTCTCAGTGCATTTTTTCTTTTTTTATCTACTGATAATCCAATCTAATGGAGATGCATGTTGCAATTAACTGGGTCTCCAGTAAGAGCTCTAAAGAATCCACATGCCTTTGAGATGAAAGAAAGTTGATAAATAGCATTTCCCTTCCGTTGTCAGTTTTCTGTCAGTGTGCTAACCACTCAGCATTGCCCTTCTTATGTTAGCATGTTAGACATCCAGCTATTCAGCAACACATGGGCAGTGTCATTATGTCAAAGGAAACTAATTACTGGTTTGATAAAACCTCATTTTTCAGGTTTGGTTCACTTTGATTTTTGTTTATTTGTTTGTTGTTGGTGGTTTTTTTTGTTTTTTTGTTTTTTTTTGTTTTTTATTTGTTCGTTGGTCTTTTTTTTTTTTTTAAAGGTTTTTTGTTGTTGTTATTGGGTTTTGTTTTGGTTTGGTTTGGTTTTGTGGGTAAGGGAGCAGCGTTTGAGTACTGTCTTCCTCAGCTTGAATCACAAACTGCTTTGGATGACAGATAGACACCAATTTCCTCACAGCAGCAATATGAGCTTTTACAAGTGAATAAAACCACAAACCCAAGGAGCTTTCAGCTAGGTAGTGAGGTTTAGTGGCTGAGTGAATTTAGATGCCTACAGGATTAACAAGAGTGGCTTCTAGAAATGGAAGTCCTAAAATAAACAGGATCTGCAGATTGGATCCCACCAAATATTTTTATCCTGTGATATTGTAATTGATGCTATTCAAGCACATACAGAAGAAGACTGGCTTCATGGTCCCTTCACCTCCTGTATCTCCTTAGCAGAGAAAATTCTGAGCTTACAAAAATGACAGTGAAAAAGCCAAATGTATTTTCTGTACCTGCAATTGACAATCAAAGCCTGGATCAATAGCAATCAATTAAAATACAGCCAGTATAACTACATACCTTTTCCTATAATCATCAACAAATGACTATTTCAAAGTCACATATTATACAATGATTCAGTTCTCCATTAGCATTATTTTGGATCTAGGCGCTATCATTCACCTTATATAACACATTTTAGTACTGTTGCAATAGTTGATAACATGCAAGAGAGGGAGGGAAGGAGAAGAGGAGGGGTAGCAGACAAGCCAGGGAATGAGAGCAAGTCATTGCACAAACCTTTCTTTCAATTCAAGTATGTAAAGTGAGATAAATGGTCAAACTGCAGACATACTGTACACAGCAGGAGCCAAAAGCTGCTCCCTGGATTGGCAGCTCCAGAAGCCATCAGCACCGGATCCTTTAAGCAATTACCAGCTCGGAAATGTCCTTCCATTGATTGTGATGGACGTAAACCAGCTGTGTTTCAATAGCAAGTGAACAGAGGGAGGAAGAACCAGACGGCAGGACACAAACTGTGCCGAACACTGGGACCAGCTGCAGCCTGCAGGTCTCACTTCCATGTCAACAAAAAAATGTTATTTAATATTTGCCAAACACTGCAGTAATTCATCACAAGGTATAAGTGGACCTATAACGTCTGAAATCGCCCGTTGAAGATTAACTGGATGTATCATGTTTCCAGTGCAGTGCCCGAAACAGGAAACAAAATTGTCTGGACCTTGTAGGCAAGGCACCGATTCACTCCCTGTGGTAGGAGCGTTCCCATGCTGGTCATACTCAGCCACGCGGTTCAGGAAATCCTTTGCCAGCACATTTGTATGCACAAAGGATACTGCTAAAAGAGGACAGTGCCAGCCTGTCAGAATCCAGCTAATGTGAGAGTCTGATCAAATGTATGCAGCTGCCTTCATCTTGTCTAGAGCCCGTATAACACAAAATTACTGTGAATCACCAACTGAGAGCGGAAGGGGTTGATTATTGTTTAAACACAGAGATAAGCTGGCAATGAACTGCTCATTGCTGGAGGGTGCCTCTAAAAATATCTGTTCTCCCCTGCAGACATTCTTCAAAGGGGCACCGGGCTTCCTGCCTGCACAAAGTGGCACTTCCAGGAGAAGGAGCTGTGGATGCCAAAATGCTATGCTTGTTTTGTACCACTCCAAGTTTTTAAGCAGAACAGAGAAAAACTTTTCAAATACACAGAACAGTGTGAAGTTCTACGAGAAGGTTATACAGAAATTACTCCATAAATCCAAACAAGCAGGTGAGGAAAGAAAAAAAAAAAAAAAACCACTAGAATTTACTTGTAATTTACATTTTATTAATTTTTAGTACATGTCTGAAACTACAGCTGCATCTAAGAACAGAAAAAAAAAAAAGAAAAAAAAAGTTAATTCAACCCAAAGAGCCATCCAACAGCTGTAAGGACTAGCATTTCTGTTTGTTGACCTCTGTCTGTCTGCACTGTAGTTGGACTCTGGTACTGCCAGACATGGCCTCAGGTGAAGAGCAACGCTCGGGTAGAACTGTGGAGCAAAACACTTCTGGCAGGGGCTGCAGTACTGCACTCCTCGTACTGCCTCTGCGGAGCTGTGATTTCCTACTGCAGGCATCAAGAAGCAGTAAGCTAGCATGTTATGTGCATTCCTGTAGTTATTATAACTAACCCGTAGAGTGCTTCTACAATATAGTATTTCACAGGATTTCCTCAATAATTTCTTCAGGATCCACCTAGGACTGTTGTGCAAAAGCCCTAAGTATGCCTCTAGAGAACTGAGTAATTATAAGAGGTTTTGAATAACACAATTAAGTGTTTAAAACAATAAAACATATCAAGGTCACACAGTGATGAGAAACTACAAGAAACGTTCTTCTTGCCACAACACTCTTCCTGGAACTGCACAGCATTCATTACATGAGCTTTCCAGAGAAGCTTTCTGCACATCATAAAAGGCAGCACTCAAATCCCTTTTTCTTTTTCCTTTTTTTTTTGGATGTATGTATGTGTGTAGCAACCCCAGAGGCTCACTGCTGCAGCTGTGTGGGACTCCACATCATGCATTTCCTTCATATATTCTTTTCATAAAAATAATATTTTCACTTGAGCAGCTATGATTCAAATGTTACATTAAAATACATTGAGTTTCTCCAAGATGTTAAGAGCTTGAGATTAGATAAAGCTATGTTTTCCACAAATAAATTCTTAATAAGGCAGTGAAATTCACAGGTCATCATTCACAAGGCTTTAATTAATCTTCAAAATTAATGAATAGCACTGTTTCGCATGGACAGTGCAGATCCGAAGACCCGCTTAATCCATTCATTCCTATGCAATCATTCTCCAGTGCCAGAGTCAGTAGTATTTTTGCATGAAACACTGAAGATGTGGCCCCACAATTATTCAGAACTTGTGCACTGCAATACCAATTTTTCTATCAGACTTCAGCGATGGGGATTCATCGTCCTTACTGCAGATGTCTAAAACTTAGATGGACAAGTCTGAATTCAGTAGACAAGAGAGTCCAGAGAGATTGTGGATGCCCCATCCCTGAAGGCATTCAAGGCCAGGCTGCATGTGATTCTGGGCAGTCTGTTCTGGTGGTTGGCAAACCTGCACATAACAGGAGGGTTGAAACTAGATGATCATGATGATCCTTTTCAACCCAGGCCATTCTAAGATTCCATGAAAAGTCAATGTCTAGGCAAAAATTTCATCTGACTCCCAACATTTTTTTTTTTTCAGAATTTTTTCCTAAGTAAATTTTAAAATGATCTGCTTTCACTGAGAACAAAGTCCAGTGTGACAATTGCGAAGTCCGGTACAGCTTTGCCTCCATTTAGATCCAGCAGTACCAGTACCATTTGCTCAGATTGAAGAGGAAGAACACACCTAGTCTAGTTTACTTTTTTTTTTTTTTTAAATTATTTTTAAGACCTCTCACTTTTCCAAGAGCAGTGCCATGGTTTGTCAATAGACATCTATCTGAAACTGAAGACCTAATGACCAAGTAATGATGGATGCACAGCCAGCAATATTTCACCTTTTGTCAACTTTCATAAGAGTTAATTTTTCTCCGCAGTAAGGTAGAGATGGAGAGGAACAGTTCCTGCTACACTGACAGTCAAAAACCACCAACACCTTTGCTGGCAAAATGGCTATTGTTAAATCATTGTCACATAAATGTGAAAGAAGCAAACTCTTTCCTTCTTAGAAGCTGTTGGTGTAGTACCTCTTCTCTGTACTACTCTTTACACTTACCACACACTTTCAGGGCAATGTAGCTGTCGAGCTGTGTTTAACAGAAGCCAGTTTAGCCACAGCACAGGAAAATTCTGCCCCAGAAGTCAGATATATTAGTTAATAATTGAAGGGGTGAAGAAACAAGCCTGGCAAGAAACTTCCGAATGATGTCACTAGGACAAGGGTTCATCTCAGCGTGATCCCAGCAGGAGAAACCATGAGAGAAATCACCATGTAACATGCAATGGTTTGCTGCGGACAAACCTTTCAGCATGACAGGCAGGAGCAGAGCAGAGAAGAACTTTACACTGCCTGGAGGAGACATGAATTTCTGATCATTAATAAAAAAAGGATGACTGACAACTGATGAAATCAATTTCCTTTATCACAGCTGGAGGTCTCACAATTAGCAAAGCTTTGGGCAATTACAGGATTTAAATCTCTGCCTTTTAGGTTTTGTGGGTTTGCTTTGGAATCTACTTTATGTATGTATTACTCCAGAATTTTGAGGCTGAAGTGCTGAGACCAGGTGCTGAGGTGTCAGCCCTGCAAACCAGTCTGACAGACAAAATGGAGATTTTGTCACCATGACTTCTGAGTGTGGTACGGCACCTGATTAAATTGGTAACAGCTCTGAAAGAAATAAGAAAATCTGTCCTTGTGAAGCCTGCTTACAAGATTCCAATCTGTCATTCCTGTTCAAAGTTACTCATGTGAAATAAGTTGATCTTGATTTGTCTTTTTTAGAAAGACAAAGGATAAACAGTCAGTGTGTAATCCTAGGTGATTTGTATCTTTCAACACTGAAATAATATTTCACATTATTTGTATTGTTTGCAATGGTGATGTTGGTGACGTGTACCCATGACATACAAAACACCTCAGAAGCACACAATGCTGTGCACACATGTAATAGAAGCCAGTCCCCTCACCCCTTAGCACCACATGAAGGAGTGAAGGAGTTTCTAGTCAAAATAATCATAGCAGACAAAAGGTGCAAAGGAATGCTACAAACACCATGCTGGAATGTCCTTGTTTGCAGTGAGCCAGCAGCTCAGAGCAGGGGAAAAGCTGATGTCACACCCGTCCGCACTCTTCTACCTGGACATATCCTCAGTCAGCTCCACCAGGAATTATTCCACAGTCTCATTCCATGGTATTTTATTCAGAAGCAGGAAGGAACAGACTAGTTTCTTTCTTTTCAAAAAATGACCGTATTTAGGACTCGCTTCTGGTTAGTGGGAAGTGGAGGAGAGCAGGAAGGAAATCTCTGCCTCGCATTCAGTGTGCTTCTTTCATGTCATTATCTGCAAAAATAGAAACTTGGGTGAACTTAACTCACTAGGTGAGTAGTTAGAACTTTCTGGGAGGCAGAGGCTGATGTGCTTGGCACTTAGGGATGTCTCACAAAGAAACCAGGGCTGGACCAATATCCAGGTAGCATTGCCAGCCTCAAAGGCTGCATTGATTGTCTCACCTCATTGGAAGTACCTGCAGTAGGTGATACAGAGTTAAAAATACCCATGTTTTTAATACATTCACACCTCTTGGTCCCCATGAAAAAATGGAAATAAAAAACTTCCTTGTTCCATTGGGTGTTGTGTACGTCAGTACATAAAAGACTTGGAAGGCTCAGATTCCATATTAAGGGAGTCATCCTTTGGTCCTACAAGGACTCTTTCGGCAAGAAGTGCCCATTACTAATCTTAAGGGAAGCATTTTTCAAAGCTGCAAAATGTGCATCTGAACACACTTTAATGGAAAACTCAGCATACAGTGTCCTTTAAAGAGGCCAGATCCTTCTCTGCACTGGGGCTTTAAAACTTTCTCAAGAAACAACAACCTGCCCTTCCACCTCCCACCCCCGACTCTTACCCACAATCTCCATCATGTGCCTCTCTGAAGTGTTGTGTTATGATTACCATAGCAACAACAGTCCAACAGCTGCCATGACATTTCATCTTCTGCTGCTTTTAAAATGCTTTCTTTTTGCCAAGAAAAACTTTTCTCAATTATTTAATTTTTTTTTTTTTTTTTTCACTACACACTGTTCACTCTCACAGAATAAACAGTTTGGAAAAAGAAAAAAATAAGAAACAGAGGAAACTGCATCAGTTCTAACCACATATTTTGCTAATTTTTTAATGCTTCTCTCGTGCCATCTTCAAGGTTTCCGAGGCTGTGCATTAAAAAGCTTACACTTGGTTTTGCAGATAAACTGATGATTGTGCACCACTGAGCAAAGCCTCCATGGATGGCTGGGAGCCACCTCCATGTGTATGGGCAGCTGCACAGTCCCATCCAGTCCCTTAAACCAAAGGATGGCGACTGATTACTCACAGCCATTTATAGCCATTGAGGTCTAACCATCCTGTTTAGTTGTCTCCCCATTTTGCTACTCATTCTCCTACTACCAATGCTGTTGGCTCTCAGCTTTATTTTATGCAGTTTTCAAGGAAGTTTTCCTACTCTTTCTACTTCTGTGTTCTTCAAAGGGATCTGGGGATAGGACAGCAGGGAATATAGGTAAACACACCTTCTCACTCCTACACTGGATGGTGGAAGGCCATGCATGGTGAAGCCAGAAACGGTGCAGAAATGAAGGGCCACAGTCCCCAACTTGTGAAACAGCCAGGACAGCCCAGCACCTTAGCTACATTCCATCTACAGACATGGATAAGAAAGCACCATGCAGATTTTAAGTATATGCAGATGAACTCTGCTAACTGAAAATTCATGTTGCTGCCACTCATTTCACAACTAAAAAAAAAAAAAAAAAAAACAACAAAAAAACAAACTATCCAACAACAAAAAAGAAATTCCCAGCATTTATTTATTTATTTATTTCCAAGGATAGCCAACCCTTTTTTTTCCAAAAGGAGAGAAAGGCACGGTTTTCCCTCACTGTGGAAGCTGCCTCTCAGATTGCTCCCTACAAAAGTCCCTTCCCTCTCCAGCCTGCATTCAT